TGCTCCATCCACTATATTCTCCAGATTTGGCGCCGTGCGACATCTTTTTGTTTCCAAACTTAAAAAAATCACCCGCCGCGCAGAAATTTGAGTTAAGAGGTTATCGCAGCCACGGAGGGCTGAAAGGAGAGAATGCTGAGAAATAAATCACCACTTTTCCAAAATTTTAATACAAATAATAATAATAATATTTATTTACTCAATGTACAAAGATAACAATATGAGTAAATAAATATAAAATCAAAACAGGCCCAATAGAAGGCATCGCCTGTACATGGACCAATAATTTAAGTTGAAACTGTAGAATGCAAATGACAAAAAAGGACAAAAATTAGCTACAGTAGATTATGTATTTAGTTGATGTTCGTATTTATGAGTTTATGAATTTCAGTCCTAGATATAGAATGTAGCCACTTTTTTAAATTTCTTTTGAAACAATTTCCGAAACGTAAATCTTTTAAGTCTTTAGGTATAATTTCATAAAATTTAGGCGCTAAATAGAGATATGATCGCTGCATTATAGATTTATGCGGTTGAGGAACTACTGTGCCACGAATTTTGTACCTGGTATAATGATTATGTTTAATTTTTTGGTCGGTGTTTACAAATTTATGGTAGTGAGTGATACTGTGTAAGAAATAAAGCTGTCTTATATCATACATTCGAACATCTGCATATAATTTTTCAGTGGGATAAAGTTTCGGTTTATTAAATATCATTTTTAGAATACTTTTTTGAAAAACATGTAAATTATAGATATGTGAGGAACATGCAGCTCCCCATGCTAATATACCATATGTGAGATGAGGCTCAATCAGTGCATGGTATAATGTTTGAAGATATTTTTCTGTCAATATATTCCCAAGGTATTTAATTTTGTAGGATACAAATCTAACTTTCTTTAAAATATAATTGACATGGATGTCCCATCGTAAGTGAGGATCCAAGACCACTCCAAGGTATTTTATGTTGGGCACTCTATTAATTTGCATTTTTTGATCATTAATATTGAAGGAGAAATTTGTGTAATTTGGCAGATGTCTAGCATAAGATCCAAATGGTAAAAAATGTGTTTTAGAGTAGTTAATGCTTAATTTTCTACTGTTAAACCACCGAATAATTTAGATAAAATCATTTTCAATTACATTTTTCAGATCAGACCAGTCAGTGCCTTCATATAATATTGCAGTATCATCTGCAAAACTAGTTATTTTGCCAACACAATTAATTTGGAAAATATCATTTAAATATATATTGAATAACAGCGGACCTAAGACAGTTCCTTGTGGGACACCACACTTAATATACATTTCTTTACTAAATGATCCTGATATCTGCACAGATTGTGGGCGATTTGACAAATAACTTTCGATCAGTGAGTACGCGTTTCCTCTGAAACCAATTCTCTCCAATGCTTCTAATAATAATTTGTGATTAACTGTGTCGAAAGCTTTCTTTAAATCAACAAAAATGCAGATTGAAGGGATTCTGTTATCAATATTTTGATATATTTGATTTACAATTTTAGTTATATATATATATATATACTTTCAGAAATGATCAGGATCTGCTTAAACGTCAAAAAAACAAACAACTTATTTTTTTTTTACTTTTTTGCCTCTAGCGCCGCCGCTACTAGATCGATTTTTAAAAACTATAAAGGTTTTTCGTCTACGTAGTTACCAAGTTATAGAGGACAGACAAACAGACAGTCAGACTGACAGACAGACCAGAAATAAGTCACATATCACATCTCATTTTCGCAAAAAATATGAATCAAATGCGGAATAGGGACCAACAGCCGTATTGCGCCGAGAAAAGTTTCACCGACTATTATGGCTGAATAGTAGTCAGTAATTTCGCCAAACATTACAATTAAAACCGTCAAAATTGACAATTGAAACTGTCAAAACTCCACCCAAGTAATCAACTGTCAAAATGCGGGTACGAATGGCAGCGCTTTCGTGATTTTACTTCCGCTAGATGGCGCTGCGTGGTTGGGGGCCAAACTGACAAGCAAAAGATAAATTTGAATCTATTTTTCACAAACTCATCACGTTTCGGCGTCTATTAAAGTGAACAGGTGATCACCAAATGACATGCTAGTTTTAAACTTTAGACATTAACCTAACTATTGCCTTTTTCACGAGTATAAATTACGGTAACAGCTGATTAGTAATGTTTCAAAATTCCCCATATTGACAAGTGACATAATTCTGACGGATCCGTCAACGCCAGGTAGACAGAGCCGTATTTTGTTTTGGTTTTTGGTACGCTACAGATTCATCTTCATTCAATACACTTGCAGATCGGCTGTTTACGTCGGTAGACGCCAAAACGGATACTCTTGGAATAAAATAGCGCCCTCTACTTGTAGCCTTCCTGATTACCGCCCAACTCTACGCTTCTCAATGTACAGATTGACCGTATTACTAGTAATATCACTCAAAATATATTTCTATAGTACAACTATATATGTTCAACAGCAAATATGTAGGTTGCGTTTACGTTTTCCTTGGGCATATACACATTTTTAACTCCAATACTTACTTTTCTACAACTGCTTCACTTGTGTAGATGCTAAACGAAACAATAAAAAGGATCGGATTAGTTCGGAGATGGAAAATCTAAGCTTTCTATACTAGAAGCGGCTAATAAGCGAAACGGGTAATTAATATCACAACCACAACAACTTTCGTAAGAAAATAATGGGTTGGTGGATAGAGAAGCACGAAACAAGAAGTCTCATGTCGTGGCGATATTCACAAAGTAGGGATGTTCGATAAGATCCGACATTTAAAAGTATCGATACTTTTCTTTCCGATACCCGATATTTTGTATCGATATTTTTATATAAGATACTTGGGTGTATCGATACATTTCACGAGTATCAATATCTTTCAATCCGGATTTCTTTGTTTCCTTCCACTTCACGACCTCGTATAATTTATTTTGGATTCCAGGGTTGACATATTAGGGTTTTTCCCAAAAATCAGGGGATTTTTATTTCAATGGGTAAAATTTTGGGGATATTTTTTTCTGGGGATTGTTAGATACGATCCGATATTTAGAAGTATCGATACTTTTGCTTCCGCTACCCGATATTTTGGATCGATATTTTTATATACGATACTTGGGTGTATCGATACATTTCACGAGTATCAATATCTTTCAATCCGGACTTCTTTGTTTTGCCATATGCCATATTAGGGTTTTTCCCCAAAAATCAGAGGATTTTTATTTCAATGGGTAAAATTTTGGGGATATTTTTTTCTGGGGATTGTTCGATACGATCCGATATTTAGAAGTATGGATACTTTTGCTTCCGTTAGCCGATATTTTGGATCGAAATTTTTATATATGATACTTGGGTGTATCGATACATTTCATGAGTATCGATATCTTTCAATCCGGACTTCTTTGTTTTGTCATATGCCATATTAGGGTTTTTCTCCAAAAATCAGAGGATTTTTATTTCAATGGGTAAAATTTTGGGGATATTTTTTTCTGGGGATTGTTAGATACGATCCGATATTTAGATGTATCGATACTTTTGCTTCCGTTAGCCGATATTTTGGATCGATATTTTTATATATGATACTTGGGTGTATCGATACATTTCACGAGTATCGATATATTTCAATCCGGACTGTGTCAGAAAGAGTGACTAATTTCATATTACTTTTCTTCTTTGTTTCTTTCCACTTAACGAACTCACATAATTTAATTTGGATTCCAGGGTTGCCATATTAGGGTTTTTCCCAAAAATCAGGGGATTTTTATTTCAACGGGTAAAATTTTGGGGATATTTTTTTCTGGGGATGGTTAGATACGATCCGATATTTAGATGTATCGATACTTTTGCTTCCGATACCCGATATTTTGGATCGATATTTTTATATAAGATACTTGGGTGTATCGATACATTTCACGAGTATCGATATCTTTCAATCCGGACTGCGTCAGAAAGAGTGACTAATTTCATATTACTTTTCTTCTTTGTTTCTTTCCACTTAACGAACTCACATAATTTAATTTGGATTCCAGGGTTGCCATATTAGGGTTTTTCCCAAAAATCAGGGGATTTTTATTTCAATGGGTAAAATTGTGGGGATATTTTTTTCTGGGGATGGTTAGATACGATCCGATATTTAGATGTATCGATACTTTTGCTTCCGATACCCGATATTTTGGATCGATATTTTTATATAAGATACTTGGGTGTATCGATACATTTCACGAGTATCAATATCTTTCAATCCGTACTTCTTTGTTTTGCCATATGCCATATTAGGGTTTTTCCCCAAAAATCAGAGGATTTTTATTTCAATGGGTAAAATTTTGGGGATATTTTTTTCTGGGGATTGTTCGATACGATCCGATATTTAGAAGTATGGATACTTTTGCTTCCGTTAGCCGATATTTTGGATCGAAATTTTTATATATGATACTTGGGTGTATCGATACATTTCATGAGTATCGATATCTTTCAATCCGGACTTCTTTGTTTTGTCATATGCCATATTAGGGTTTTTCTCCAAAAATCAGAGGATTTTTATTTCAATGGGTAAAATTTTGGGGATATTTTTTTCTGGGGATTGTTAGATACGATCCGATATTTAGAAGTATCTTTTACGTTTGCTTCCGTTAGCCGATATTTTGGATCGATATTTTTATATACGATACTTGGGTGTATCGATACATTTCACGAGTATCGATATCTTTCAATCCGGACTGTGTCAGAAAGAGTGACTAACTTCAGATAACTTTTTTCTTTGTTTCCTTCCACTTCACGATCTCACATAATTTAATTTTGATTCCAGGGTTGCCATATTAGGGTTTTGCCCAAAAATCAGGGGATTTTTATTTCAATCGGTAAAATTTTGGGAATATTTTTTTCTGGGGATTGTTCGATACGATCCGATATTTAGAAGTATCGATACTTTTGCTCTCGATAGTCGATATTTTGGATCGATATTTTTATATACGATACTTGGGTGTATCGATACATTTCACGAGTATCGATATCGTTCAATCTGTGTCAGAAAGAGTTACTAACTTTAGATTACTTTTCTTCTTTGTTTCCGTCCACTTGATGACCTCGCGTAATTTATTTTGGATTCCAGGGTTACCATATTAGGGGGTTCTCCCCAAAAATCAGGGGATTTTTATCTCAATGGCGAAAACTTTGGGGATATTTTTTCTGGGGATTTCTTTTTGGAATTTTTTTTTATTGGGGAGGTATTATTATGTAAAATTTCATTAATGGCATTACATAATGTACTTGTTTTGTATTTATTTGTATTTCGATTCGAAAAAATACTTTTACCTTTTCGGGTATTTAGCGACACACAAAAAAAAAATCGCTACTTTTTGGCGATTTTTACATTTCGACTTGCAGATTACTTTCTCTCGACCGATTTAGTAAAAACTACGAATTTGAAGAATTTCAAATATCTGCATAACCAACAAGTGCCAAAACCTGTAGTTTGCATCGGTTTTCGGCGATAACTTTTTTGCTATTGGTCGGATCTCTGTACGTGTGGTCTCATCCTGTAGGTCTCATAGATACCTAAAAATCTTGTATAAAGAGTTTTTTCGTTGCTGCCAACACTTCCGATTGAATCTCGAAAAACACGTTTTCTCATTCAATCTTGTCGAATAAAAAGTTTTCCCACAAAAATTGGTGTACACATTTTTTTTACAATTAAATCGCGAACCGGCGGTATTTTCGTCTAATATGATTAGACTAAAATATTCTTCTATAAAATTATGTTTCGACGGTAGTGTATTACTTCATGAGACCACTTATTTCCATGTCTGTATCTGACACATTGGTTCCCTCAGTGATATGCGACGTGACGTGTGCTCTAAACAGAAACCTTCCAATTGCAAGCCTAAACGCAACCTAAACGGTTCGAATAACTGCGCCTAACTACTGTGTCCCCTTAACGTTACTACAGCAGTTCGTGCAGTCAAAACAACATTGCTATCTTTTGCTAGTGTTCCATTGCCAACCTCCTCTTTCCGCGCCGCTCGTGATCTGATCCTGCAGCCTCTTGATGTCGTCCAGCAACTTCTGTTTCTCGTTCAGAAGTCTCACGACCTCGTCTTGCGACGTTTTCAGGCATGACCGGAGGACGTCCGTTTCTTCTTTGGCTTTTCTGAGCGCGCGGTTTTCTTCCGAAACTCGCTCGAACGCCGCCAGGCGGCGCTTCAGTTCCTCGTTCTCGGAGAAGAGCTGCCTGAACACCTTTTGCTCCGTTTCTTGGGCTGGAACGATTTTGTTCGTTTGTTCTAGATTTATTTAGCATTAATCCCACAATATCAATGTTACACAATATATCACATGTCTTCAAGACTTCATATTTTTATACAAAATTTCGCTACTATGAATGAAATATTTTTTCAATTTCATTCAGACAACATTTCCAAACTGGCACTCATCTTGATATCATTACTTAATTTATTAAATTCGTACAATCTTTGTGTCTTTTGTCTATACACTAGTAGAATAACTAAGGCACTCAATGTTCAAATCGATAAAATTTTATAAGTGATTTGGTAGAAGATGATGTTTTAATTTGAATATGAAGTATTGCAAAAGTACACTCTTATAACTTAAACTTTCAAGCTTTCGAAGATCTATGTCTTCATCGTCTGGAGCTGGAAACAATTATTGACAATAGCAACAAATAACAATTAGGAGAAAAAAAGTTACTCACTAAGTCTGCGAGATTGTTGCTGAAATTGTTTTTAAACAACAGTGAAGGAAACACATCGTCGACGAATGAAAAAAAATGACCAGACGATGAAGACATAGATCTTCGAAAGCTTGAGAGTTTGAGTTATAAGAGTGTACTTTTGCAAAATTAAAGGATATTTTTCTCCTAACAGTTAAGGCAATTAACTATGAATACTATATATATATTTCTTCCCAATGTTATTGCAGCTCCTGATGAAGATGGCAAAGTCCATTGAAAGCTAGAGATTAATAAAGTATAAACTGTCCTCTGCTTGAATTTTGTCGAAGTACCCAACAAAAGGCAGAAGCTTTATTTTTCACCTAACTGGTTTAAATCACCACGTCTCAAGTTATATATATATATATATAATATTAATAAATTGTTAACATTACCTGAGGCTATAGAGGACACAGATGAAGCAGATGGAGGCTTACATGGCTGAATATGGAACACACCGTCATCTCCCCTGGTTATGTACAAAAAACTTATATCTAAATCTATGGGAACAGGTCCTGGAGACGTGATATTCACTGGAGGTCGATCTTCATTCAGATGGAGCTTTATAGTTTCCAAGGTTACCTAAAAATTAAATAGTTATATATACTCAGTGACATATAAAATGCAACATCCAGAATTATTTATTGAATTAATAAAACGATTCATAATTACGTATACACAATATAAAATAGACTACACTTACTTTCATAGGTAAAGGTATAGGAATAATCTCATCCTCGATCAAGTCGGCTAGGCCTACTGCGGTGCTCATGTTCAATGCGAGCGCCAGATCTTTCACTTCCACCGTCAACATGTCCCTGAATATTTTGGCTAGATTGTCTCTATTCCTGAAGTCCAGCTCCATCATGGATTTGGAAGAGGGCAGTGACAGCGTGTGATCGAGACGTACCCGAATTTTTGACGTAGTTGAGGCGTTCGAGGGATTGTCGTTCCACGCTCTGGATCTCGTGCTAAATTTACTCTGATAAAAAGTTATCAGTTAATTTTCAAGAAAAAATGTCTAGAAAACAATACTATACTTTTAACAGTTTTAAATGCAATCTATAACGGACAATGAAAGTCTTTTCAAAGATCTATTATCAGTGTAAGAGACTGGCCCCACCCAATGCAACTGGAACCTGTAACCGGATCTGGTTGCTGGCACTGGAGGAGGAAGAGTAGGCGGAAAAAGAGTAAGAGAAGGATGAAGAGGAGGAGGAGGAGGCGGAGGAGGAGAAGGAGGAGGAGGAGGAGGAGGAGGAGGAGGTGGTGGTGGTGGAGGAGGGGGAGGAGGAGGAGGAGGAGGAGGGGGAGGAAGATGAGGAGGAGGAAGATGAGGGAGGGGAGAAAGATGAGGAAGGGGAGAAAGATGAGAAAGGGGAGGAAGATGAGCAAGGGGAGGAAGATGAGCAAGAGGAGGAAGATGAGCAAGAGGAGGAACAGGATGCAGAGGAGAAAGGGGGAAGAGGAGAAATAAGTGGAACAGGAGGAATAAGAGCAAGAGTATGAAGAGGAGAAAGGGTGGGAAGAGGAGAGATGGTGGGAAGAGGAGAAAGAGGAGGAAGAGGAAGTGCAGGAGGAGGAAAATGAGGAAGTGGAGGAAGGGAATGAAGAGGGGGAATAAGAGGAAGAGGAGGAAGGCGAGGAACAGGAGGAATAAGAGGAATAAGAGGAAGAGTGGGAAGGCGAGAAAGAGGAGGAAGTGGAGGAGGAGGAAGATGATGAAGATGATTAAGGGGAGGAAGAGGAGGAACAGGAGGAAGAGGAGAAAGGGGAGGAGAGGAAAAAGGGCAGGAAGAGGAAGTGGAGGAGGAGGAAGATAAGGAAACGGATGAAGAGGAGGAAGGGAAGGAAGGGCAGGAAGAGGAGGAATGGGGAGAAGAGGAGGAATGGGAGGAAAAGGAGGAATGGGAGGAAGATGAGGAACAGGAGCAAGGGGAGACAGGGGAGAAAGATGAGGAATAGAAGGGAAGCAAGATGAGGAAGAGGAGGAGTAAGAGAAAGAGAGGGAAGAGAAAGATGGGGAAGCGGGCGAAGAGGATAAAGAGGAGGAAGGGAGGAAGAGGAGAAAGGGAAGGAAGATAAGGAACAGGAGGAAGAGGATGAACTGGAGGAAGATGAGGAAGAGGAGGGATAAGAGGAAGAGGAAGACGAGGAAGCGGACTAAGAGGATGAAAAGGAGGAACATGAGGAAGTGGATGAAAGGGAGGAAGAGGATAAGGACGAGGAAAACTAAGAAGAGGAGGAATAAGATGAAGTGGAGAAAGAGGAGAAATGGGACAAATAGGAGGAAAAGGTGGAAGAGATAAATAAGATGTCCTTATGACTAAATATTCGGTCCTAAAACTTCTAAAGAATGTTAACTAAAATTTCAAACAAGTGGAGCACATTGAGGATTTCCTGAAAAGGTTATTCGTATGATATCAATAATTTCATACCGTTCTTTTCACGGTTTTTGGCCGTTACGTCACAACGCTATAAGGGATAAGTAAATAGAATTTACTAATGGTTTCTTAAGGGGCGTTGCACACTGCGCAAGCCGATCCGTAATGCAACTGCTGCCCACTCTATTTGCTCATGAGCTCAGTGATAGAGGACAACATTGTAAATGTATGGTCGGACACTGCCATGTTTTGTAACAAAGATCAACACGGTTAAACGCAAATCACATACCAGTTACAAGCAAGTTGTAAATGTGGAAGACTCGGCGTTTTCAAGGCGGTGAGACCAAACTAAAAAACGTATGTCCGAGTTTACATAAGCGTATGTGTGAGGGAAATGGATGTATAAAAATTCTTGTACTGTGACTTGCCAAAATCCGTGGAAAGATATGTTCTAAAATCGGGAATAATCTAGCAACAAGCTACCGTGCAAGCATACAATATAAAAAAATTCAATACCTTTATCTTTGCCTGTGTGACATACAAACATTCAGTAGCATGCAAAAAATATGAAAAATTGTGTGAAGTATTGAGAGCTGTACAATTATCATATCGTTTTGTTTGTATAATTTAGATGCATACAACAATCGGGCATTTTAGTACGATGACATTTGGAGGTTTGATATACTGTACATTGAATAAACAATAAAAAAAAATGCTTGAAATAATAATACCCCCTTTGGAATTTTGTTAATGGATGTTTGAAGAATAATTAAACAGTTTGGCAATATTAAAATTTTAGTTTATTTCGGGTCGAAAATAGATATTTCGCATTTTTTTCAAATATTAAATCGCGTAAATTTCAAAAACTGTACAATTTAAGAGAAACGTTCATAAAAGGACCTTTTTTGTTCAAAACGACCTAACAACGAAAAAAACAATTTTTGAAATTTGTTATAAATAACCGGTTGAACTATGTTTGACGCAATTTTGGGCATAGCAACATGCAGATACATTAAAAGGAGTATTTTTGTATAAAATCATACAAAAGAGAAAACTAATCAAAATATCTTGAAAAGCTGCGAAGATAATTCCTGGAAAATTATAGTTTCAGTTAACATGTATGGTCACGACCTGTTAGCAACCGAAATAAAAATAAAAAACACAGTTTCCCCGAATGCCCGATTGAATCAAATTTAAACGCCGTACAAAGTCAACTTTCAAAAAAGTGCTGATGCGGCACTAAAAAAGTTAAACATTTAAACGTGATTATCAACTATAAGGGCAAGTATGACGGTTATGATGGTCTAAATAGTTACCATCAATGGCTGTTTTTTACGACTATCAGATCTTTTTGAAAGTTGCAAATATCCGAAGTGAAAGGAAAATGTTTCGTTTCAATGAATATATTTGTGGAAATTTAGTTTACAACAGATGGTCAGAAAAGCAACCAGTCCAAAAATGAAGCAACAACGATGATATAAATGGAAATGCTCAAAAACAACCATTATTTACGTTTTCCTAAACTGACTTACCTGAAACTCATCCCAAGGTATCGAAGAACATTCTTCGCTAGATATATTGGCGACTTGCACTTTTATTGCTGAAGAATATCCTACTGCTTGGTAAAGAAGCTCCACTTTGTTCAATTTAAATGTCGACACCAACACCTGAAATTAAAGAGGAAGTAAATAATACGAAATGTATTAAAGAATGAACGAATGAAAGTAAATAACGCATAAATACCATTTGGAGGTTCTAGAATTTCCAAAGAGAGAGACAGAGAGAGAGAGCGAGAATCCAATTCGGAAAAATTAAAATTTAGAGATTTTCGTGGGTTTACAATATTTAGACAATTTTAAATATAAAAGATTTCAAAAAACCCAAAATTACGCAATGTCTTGCCCCACCCTGCACTCCACCTACCAGATCTTTCCTCTTCCCATTACTGGTGATCGAATGATCGCTGCCCGACGTCACAGTGCTATCCTCCTCCAGCACTTCCGCAGCCTCCTCCACCCTGTCGTGATCGTACGTGAACTCCTGCACCATGAACATCAAATCCTGTCCTGGAACGTCAGCTTCGCAATTTATCAGAACGTACTTTTCGGAGTCGCTCGACGCGTCGCTGCGTATCGACATCGTGTCGCTCATGTCGTCCGGGCTCGGCTTCAGCGCGCTGTCTATCGAGGACATCAGGTTGGTGAAGCCTTTTTTCATCGAGGTGAAACCTGGAAAACGCACGTTTACAAACGTCTATATCTTTGCTGGGGAATCTGAAGAGTATAGTGAATCTAAGATAACCTAGAGAATCTAGAAAATGTCGAGAATGTAGAGAGAGAGCCTAGAGAATTTAGGGAGTCTAGAGAATCAGAAAAATCTGGAAACTGAGGAATCGGAAGAATCTGAAGAATCCAAAGAATCTAAAGAATCTAAGGAATCTAAAGAATCTAAAGAATCTAAGGAATCAAAAGAATCTAAAGAATCTAAAGAATCTAAAGAATCCAAAGAATCTAAGGAATCAAAAGAATCTGAAGAATCTAAGGAATCAAAAGAATCAAAAGAATCTAAAGAATCTAAAGAATCTAAAGAATCTAAAGAATCTAAAGAATCTAAAGAATCTAAAGAATCTAAAGAAACTAAAGAATCTAAAGAATCTAAAGAATCTAAAGAATCTAAGTAATCAAAAGAATCCAAAGAATCTAATGAATCCAAAGAATCTAAAGAATCTAAAGAAACTAAAGAATCTAAAGAATCTAAAGAATCTAAAGAATCTAAAGAATCTAAAGAATCTGAAGAATCTAAGGAATCAAAAGAATCTAAAGAATCAAAAGAATCTAAAGAATCTAAGGAATCAAAAGAATCTAAGGAATCAAAAGAATCTAAAGAATCTAAAGAATCTAAAGAATCTAAAGAATCTAAAGAATCTAAAGAATCTAAAGAATCTAAAGAATCTAAAGAATCTAAAGAATCTAAAGAATCTAAAGAATCTAAGGAATCTAAAGAATCTAAGGAATCAAAAGAATCAAAAGAATCTAAAGAATCTAAAGAATCTAAAGAATCTAAAGAATCTAAAGAATCTAAAGAATCCAAAGAATCTGAAGAATCTGAAGAATCTAAGGAATCAAAAGAATCTAAAGAATCTAAAGAAACTAAAGAATCTAAAGAATCTAAAGAATCTAAGGAATCAAAAGAATCTAAAGAATCCGAAGAATCTAAAGAATCCAAAGAATCTAAAGAATCCAAAGAATCTAAAGAATCTAAAGAATCCAAAGAATCCAAAGAATCTAAAGAATCTAAAGAAACTAAAGAAACTAAAGAATCTAAAGAATCTAAAGAATCTAAAGAATCTAAAGAATCTAAAGAATCTAAAGAATCTAAAGAATCTAAAGTATCTAAAGAATCCAAAGAATCTAAAGAATCAAAAGAATCTAAAGAATCTAAGGAATCAAAAGAATCTAAAGAATCTAAGGAATCAAAAGAATCTAAAGAATCAAAAGAATCAAAAGAATCTAAAGAATCTAAGGAATCAAAAGAATCTAAGGAATCAAAAGAATCTAAGGAATCAAAAGAATCTAAAGAATCTAAAGAATCTAAAGAATCTAAAGAATCTAAAGAATCTAAAGAATCCAAAGAATCCAAAGAATCTAAAGAATCTAAGGAATCAAAAGAATCTAAAGAATCTGAAGAATCTAAAGAATCAAAAGAATCTAAAGAATCTAAGGAATCTAAAGAATCTAAGGAAACAAAGAATCTAAAGAATCCTTAGAATCCTTAGAATCTAAAGAATCTAAAGAATCCAAAGAATCTAAAGAATCTAAGGAATCAAAAGAATCTAAAGAATCTAAGGAATCAAAAGAATCTAAAGAATCAAAAGAATCTAAAGAATCAAAAGAATCTAAAGAATCTAAGGAATCAAAAGAATCTAAAGAATCTAAAGAATCTAAAGAATCTAAAGAATCTAAAGAATCTAAAGAATCTAAAGAATCTAAAGAATCTAAAGAATCTAAAGAATCTAAAGAATCTAAAGAATCTAAAGAATCTAAAGAATCTAAAGAATCTAAAGAATCTAAAGAATCCAAAGAATCTAAAGAATCTAAGGAATCAAAAGAATCTAAAGAATCTGAAGAATCTAAAGAATCAAAAGAATCTAAGGAATCTAAAGAATCTAAGGAATCAAAAGAATCTAAAGAAACTAAAGAATCTAAAGAATCCTTAGAATCTAAAGAATCTAAAGAATCTAAAGAATCTAAAGAATCCAAAGAATCTAAAGAATCCAAGGAATCAAAAGAATCTAAAGAATCTGAAGAATCTAAGGAATCAAAAGAATCTAAAGAAACTAAAGAATCTAAAGAATCTAAAGAATCTAAAGAAACTAAAGAATCTAAAGAATCTAAAGAATCTAAAGAATCCTTAGAATCTAAAGAATCTAAAGAATCCAAAGAATCTAAAGAATCTAAGGAATCAAAAGAATCTAAAGAATCTGAAGAATCTAAATAGTCTAAAGAAAGGCTATCGTGCAGGTACGTCTTTCAACATTTCTTGGTGGACTGTTCCAACCAATGCCCAGACGCTTATATAAATGATATAACTATGGTAATACACATTATTTTGCACGTCTAAAAACAGTGGTTTTTACTCACCGACATTAAAATTGTTCTGTAAATTGATGTTTCCAAACTGCTGTTGGGATTGTTGTTGCGTCTGCACATTTGATTTCACCATAGCAATTTCTGAACTGTTCTGAGCGAATTCCCCCGAATAACTACTCGACATTTGTAAGGGATGACTAGAACCGTTCGCTACAGGTTTTTTGCCCGTTTCTACTTGCGACATGGACAAGGTGCTGTTCTGCCAGATTGTTGCCGAAGAGCCTGGGGAAAAAATAAATTTAAGAGATCGAGGAGTGTCATAAGGATTTTAAGAAAGAAGAAAATTATGAGCTCTTGAGTACGGCTCAAACTTTTAATTTCATTCATTCAGCGCAAAAGATTACTACTATTGCAACGGCAATATTATCTGAAGATTCTCCAGTTCGACTGGACTATTTTCTACTCTGATTGGACGATTTGAACCGGTTGACGTGACATCTTCCGTGTAAGAGAGTGAATGGGCATTCAGATCCCAGCCTTTTTGTACTCTCAAGAGGTAGTAGTAGAAAGATTTATTTAGCATATTTGGCTACATAAACAGAACTAATGTAGACAACTTAGAACTAGTAAATTCAAGCCATATGGTGTATGATGTAAATGCTGGGCAACCTATAATTGTAGATTTAACAAGTGATTTCTCAATTTTACTTTAAATTTTGTCAAAGTTTTCTGGTCTTTTATCTCCGAGTATAATTTATTATATTCAATCAACTCTTGATGGAATACAGATTTGTAGCATATGTTATACTTTTTGGTCATTAAATGGAAGTCATCTTTATTTCTGGTATTATGTAAATGATGGTCGACATTTGACGATGTTAAATTAATTAGACTTGATGGAAATATATTGTTTTTTACTTTATAAATGAATATCATTACAAGGTATTTGATAAAATTTTTTACATTGAGCCATTTTAATTTGCTAAGCATTTGCCTAATTGGAGTATATTTATCTTTATTTAGTATTATTCTCATGCACTTTTTTTTTAAATTTGCAGTCTTTCAAAAATGGAATTATTTGCTAAATATAGAATAGTCGAACAGTACAAGAAATTTGGAAGAATGATGGTATTATAGATAATTTTTCTGCTATATGAACTCAGACATCCAGAAACTCTCGATAAATATCCCACTTTACTACTAATCTTATTTATAACTTTTTCATAATGAATATCAAAAATTAATCGAGAGTCAACAAAAACCCCCAGGTATTTAAAATTTTCTACGAATTCAATATCTTCACCATCAATATTCAGTTGAACATTTGTACATTGTTTTTTTCCGATTAACAAGGCTTTCGTTTTACTTGCATTTAATTTTAGTCTGTTAGATGCTAACCATTTTGAGACAAGCTTCAAGTCTTCATTTATATAAGACATACCAGACTGAATATTTGTAGTACTTATGTATATAAATCATAGTGTCATCAGCGAAAATCTGAATTTTGCATTTGTTGACTATGGCAGGTAAATCATGTATGTATAAAATGAAAAGAAGTGGTCCTAGGATACTGCCCTGTGGAACACCCAACGTATTTTCAATTTTTGATGAAATAGTGTCATTAACTTTTGTAACTTGCATCCTTTTAGACAAATAATTTCTAAACCAATCTAAAACACTTCCTGTTATACCATATGCCTTCAATTTACCAAACAAAATATCTCTATCAATCGTTTCAAGTGCCCTCTTCAAATCCAAAAATACTGCTATGACAACTTCTTCTGAGTCTATGGCTCTTCTCCAATTCTTAGTTACCAACTGGAAAGCTGTTTCTGTGGAATATTTTTTTCGAAAGCCTGCTTCCGCTTCCACTAAAATTTTGTTTTCTTCTATAAACTGCATTAATTGGTCATGCACTATGGACTATAATAGTTTTTCAATGTCTGGTAACACATTTACTGGTCTCATATCGCCGCATCTTGTAGAATTTTTTATTTTGGGAACTGGTGTTCTTGTAGAGCATTTCAAATTTTCAGGAAAAGAATTGCTTCTCAGTGAACAATTGATCCAATTTAATACAGGATATCCCAAAATTTCGAAACAGTTTTTTCAGCACGTTTTTAGTAGTGATTTCGGCACAGTTGTTATTTGATTTTAAACTGTTTACTTTTTTTCTTAGATAATTCAATGAAACGCTGTGAAATTTTGAAAGTGTATGCAACATTTCCCCCTGGAAACTGATTTTCATATGGTCACTTGCAGCATTGGCAGTACCCACAATATCAACAATACTTTCCACAAAATATCCATTTAGTTTGATGCAATCACCAAAGAATTTGTTTCGGTACCGTTTTCGAATTGAACTTGATTTACACAATCATGCGGCTTCGAATTGATCTCTTTTTAAAGTCTTCCACATCTTTAAACTGTCGCACTTGTTATTATCGATTTGTTTATCGTAGAATTTCCTTTTTTCTTCTCTAATTACATTTACACATTTATTCCTAAGAGTTTTATATACCTCCCAATTATCATTTGATTTTGTGAATATACATTTATTGTATTGTTTTTCTCTCAAATTTTGAGCTGCCTTAATATTCTTGTTATACCAGGGTGTATTTTTTGTCGAGAAAATCACTTTTTATCAGTTGCAAGATCTAAACAAGTTTTTATATTTCCTATTATGTTGTCATATATTTTTTTCATATTCTCACCAAAATTCCAATAGCAGCCAGCCTAGTTCTCGTTCAATTTTTTCGTACTTAATAGTATTTACGATTTTCTTAATTTTTGTATCAGAAAAATGTTGGAGTTGAAAATGTTCACCCTGAATCCCTAAAGCCAACAGGGAGATAAGCGAGGTGATTTTTTTTGCTTTCGGGGATATACCTAGAAGGGACAGTTATATTGTGCCTGCGGCGATCCTAATTAGGATCTCGTTTTTCAGCTAAGGAGCTATGAATTGAGTTCCTAACGAGTGAAGGGTTGCCCTCAGCTTGCGTGTCACAATATACATAACAAGATCATCATTTTGTTATTTACTTACCTACAAACATGTTATCGTCAGCAATGCTGGAAGAATCAGGTACGAAAGATTCAACATCTCCACCAGAAGACTCTTTTCCTGGACTATGGGACGGCATAACAAAAGTTACTTCTAACTGAGGTACCAGGGCGCCAACTACCATGGAACTATTGTTTTCAGACTGTAAAAATGATAACGAATTGAGAATGATTCTATTTTTCTATTTGAAGGTCCCCTCCATGGACCCTATCACTTCTTCTCTTTATATACCATCGTACTGATGATTTCTAACAAAGACGAAACGCTTGACCAACACCTAATTTCAACTCACCTTCAATATCCTGTCGGTATCCATCGACAAATACGTAGCCAACTCGGCCGCGTCTTCGGCCAATCTCAGCAGGAACAGGTACTGATAGTGGTTGATCTGCACGCTGACCAAATTTGAAATGTTGACAAGCGCGTGGATGTCCGCGTTGACCGTGTTCAAACCGTTCTCGGGCGGTTTCAACGTCGAGTTCGGGTCGAGGTGCGAGTGTAACCAAACGGTCACTGGAACGGCGTCCAGAAACGGAACCGGCTTGTTCACGCCGGGCGCTTTGGCGCCGTGGAAATCGCCCCAGACGGGGTCCAGGTTGACGCACCACACGTCTTTCGCTTCTATCCAGAGCATTTCGCGGCTGAACTGCTCCAGCTGGAAGAAAATGTTCGTTTGATTGTGATTCCTGGATACTTATATCTTCGGGATATCAACAATTTCGAACCCAAAAGGGTTTGGATAATTTGGAGAATTTAGAACATTTAGAGGATTTAGTAAATTTGAAGAATTTAGTGAATTTGGAGAATTTTGAGGATTTAGAGAAATTTGAGGATTTAGAGAATTTGGATAGGTAATTTTAGGGATTTGATGAATTTAGAGGATTTTGGATAATTTAAAGAATTTGGAGGATTTAGAGAATGTACGGAATACGGAATAATTTTGGAGAAATTGGAGGATTTAGAGAATCTAAGAAATTTGGCAAATTTGAAGGAATTTAGCGAATTTGGAGAATTTAAAGAAATGGATAAACGACAGAAATTATTAAGAGAATTTAGAGAAGTTGGATAATTTGTATAATTTAATGGATTTAGAGAAATTGGTTAATTCAGAGAAATTGGAAGATTTAGAGAATTTAGAGAAATTAGATAATCTAGAGGATTTGGAGAATCCAGAGAAGTTTGAGAATTTAGATAATTTGGAGGATTTAGAGAATTTGGAGAAATTGGATTTAGAGAATTTAAAGGAATTGAGGAATTTGGGAATCTGTAGAATTCCGAGAATTTTGATAATTCAAAGGATTTAGAGAATTTAGAGAAATTGGTTAATTCAGAGAAATTGGGGGATTTAGAGAATTTAGAGAAATTAGACAATCTAGAGGATTTGAAGAATCCAGAGAAGTTTGAGAATTTGGATAATTTGGAGGATTTAGAGAATTTGGAGAAATTGAATTTAGAGAATTTAAAGGATTTGAGGAATTTGGGAATCTGTAGAATTCCGAGAATTTTGATAATTCAAAGGATTTAGAGAATTTAGAGAAATTGGTTAATTCAGAGAAATTGGAGGATTTAGAGAATCTAGAGGATTTGGAGAATCCAGAGAAGTTTGAGAATTTGGAGAAATTGGATTTAGAGAATTTAAAGGATTTGAGGATTATGGGAATCTGTAGAATTCCGACAATTTTGATAATTCAACGGATTTAGAGAATTTAGAGAAATTGTTTAATTCAGAGAAATTGGGGGATTTAGAGAATTTAGAGAAATTAGATAATCTAGAGGATTTGGAGAATCTAGAGAAGTTTGAGAATTTGGATAATTTGGAGGATTTAGAGAATTTGGAGAAATTGGATTTAGAGAATTTAAAGGATTTGAGGAATTTGGGAATCTGTAGAATTCCGACAATTTTGATAATTCAAAGGATTTAGAGAATTTAGAGAAATTGGTTAATTCAGAGAAATTGGGGGATTTAGAGAATCTAGAGGATTTGGAGAATCCAGAGGATTTGTAGAATCCAGAGAAGTTTGAGAATTTGGATAATTTGGAGGATTTAGAGAATTTGGAGAAATTGGATTTAGAGAATTTAAAGGATTTGAGGAATTTGGGAATCTGTAGAATTCCGACAATTTTGATAATTCAAAGGATTTAGAGAATTTAGAGAAATTGGTTAATTCAGAGAAATTGGGGGATTTAGAGAATCTAGAGGATTTGGAGAATCCAGAGAAGTTTGAGAATTTAGATAATTTAGAGGATTTAGAGAATTTGGAGAAATTGGATTTAGAGAATTTAAAGGATTTGAGGAATTTGGGAATCTGTAGAATTCCGAGAATTTTGATAATTCAAAGGATTTAGAGAATTTAGAGAAATTGGTTAATTCAGAGAAATTGGGGGATTTAGAGAATTTAGAGAAAATAGATAATCTAGAAGATTTGGAGAATCCAGAGAAGTTTGAGAACTTAGATAATTTGGAGGATTTAGAAATTTGGAGAAATTGGATTTAGAGAATTTAAAGGATTTGAGGAATTTGGTAATCTGTAGAATTCCGAGAGTTTTGATAATTCAAAGGATTTAGAGAATTTAGAGAAATTGGGGGATTTAGAGAATTTAGAGAAAATAGATAATCTAGAAGATTTGGAGAATCCAGAGAAGTTTGAGAATTTGGATAATTTGGAGGATTTAGAGAATTTGAGAAATTGGATTTAGAGAATTTAAAGGATTTGAGGAATTTGGGAATCTGTAGAATTCCGAGAATTTTGATAATTCAAAGGATTTAGAGAATTTAGAGAAATTGGTTAATTCAGAGAAACTATGGGATTTAGAGAATTTAAAGAAATTAGATAATCTAGGGGATTTGGAGAATCCAGAGAAGTTTGAGAATTTGGATAATTTGGAGGATTTAGAGAATTTGAGAAATTGGATTTAGAGAATTTAAAGGATTTGAGGAATTTGGTAATCTGTAGAATTCCGAGAATTTTGATAATTCAAAGGATTTAGAGAATTTAGAGAAATTGGTTAATTCAGAGAAATTGGGGGATTTAGAGAATTTAGAGAAATTGGATTTAGAGAATTTAAAGGATTTAAGGAATTTGGGAATCTGTAGAATTCCGAGAATTTTGATAATTCAAAGGATTTAGAGAAATTGGTTAATTTAGAGAAATTGGGGGATTTAGAGAATCTAGAGGATTTGGAGAATCCAGAGAAGTTTGAGAATTTAGATAATTTAGAGGATTTAGAGAATTTGGAGGAATTGGATTTAGAGAATTTAAAGGATTTGAGGAATTTGGGAATCTGTAGAATTCCGAGAATTTTGATAATTCAAAGGATTTAGAGAATTTAGAGAAATTGGTTAATTCAGAGAAACTAGGGGATTTAGAGAATTTAGAGAAATTAGATAATCTAGAGGATTTGGAGAATCCAGAGAAGTTTGAGAATTTAGATAATTTGGAGGATTTAGAAATTTGGAGAAATTGGATTTAGAGAATTTAAAGGATTTGAGGAATTTGGGAATCTGTAGAATTCCGAGAATTTTGATAATTCAAAGGATTTAGAGAATTTAGAGAAATTGGTTAATTCAGAGAAATTGGGGGATTTAGAGAATCTAGAGGATTTGGAGAATCCAGAGAAGTTTGAGAATTTAGATAATTTAGAGGATTTAGAGAATTTGGAGAAATTGGATTTAGAGAATTTAAGGGATTTGAGGAATTTGGTAATCTGTAGAATTCCGAGAGTTTTGATAATCCAAAGGATTTAGAGAATTTAGAGAAATTGGTTAATTCAGAGAAATTGGGGGATTTAGAGAATTTAGAGAAAATAGATAATCTAGAAGATTTGGAGAATCCAGAGAAATTTGAGAACTTAGATAATTTGAAGGATTTAGAGAATTTGGAGAAATTGGATTTAGAGAATTTAAAGGATTTAAGGAATTTGGGAATCTGTAGAATTCCGAGAATTTTGATAATTCAAAGGATTTAGAGAATTTAGAGAAATTGGTTAATTTAGAGAAATTGGGGGATTTAGAGAATCTAGAGGATTTGGAGAATCCAGAGAAGTTTGAGAATTTAGATAATTTAGAGGATTTAGAGAATTTGGAGAAATTGGATTTAGAGAATTTAAAGGATTTAGAGAATTTAGAGAAATTGGTTAATTCAGAGAAACTAGGGGATTTAGAGAATTTAGAGAAATTAGATAATCTAGAGGATTTGTAGAATCCAGAGAAGTTTGAGAATTTAGATAATTTGGAGGATTTAGAGAATTTGGAGAAATTGAATTTAGAGAATTTAAAGGATTTGAGGAATTTGGGAATCTGTAGAATTCCGAGAATTTTGATAATTCAAAGGATTTAGAGAATTTAGAGAAATTGGTTAATTCAGAGAAATTGGGGGATTTAGAGAAATTAGATAATCTAGAGGATTTGGAGAATCCAGAGAAGTTTGAGAATTTAGATAATTTGGAGGATTTAGAGAATTTGGAGAAATTGGATTTAGAGAATTTAAAGGTTTTGAGGAATTTGGGAATCTGTAGAATTCCGAGAATTTTGAGAACTTGGATAATTTAAAGAATTTAGATAATGTATTGTTTAGAGAAATTGGAGGATTTAGAGAATTTGGAGAAATTAAAGAATTTAGAGGATTTAGGGAATTTGAATGATTTACGGTTTAGAGAATTTGGAGGATTTAGAGAATTTGGAGGATTCGGATAATTTAAAGGATTTAGAGCATTTAAGATATTTGGAAAATCTGGAGAATCCAGAGAACTTGGCGAATTTGGAGAATTTAAGAAAATGGAGAAATTAGTGAATTTAGAGGATATAGATAATATAGACAATTTACTAAATTTAGCGAAGGTAGAGAATTTGGAGGATTTAAGGAATTTGGAGAATTTAGACAATTTGGAGAGTTCAGAGAATTATGAGAGTTTGGAGGATTTGGAGAATTTAGAGGATTAAGAGAAACGAGATAATTTAGAGAATTTTGTGAATTTGGGGGATTTAAAGAATTTGGAGTATTTAGAAAATTTAGAGAACTAAGAGGATTTAGAGAATTTGGAAAAATTAGAGAATTTGAAGGATTTGAACGAATTGGAGGATTTAAAGAATTTTGACAATTTAAAGGATTTAGAGAATTTGGATAATTTGAGATTTAGAGAATGCAGGGGATTTAGTCAATTCAAAAAATTTTGATAAACTGTAGGGACTAAAGAATTTAGAGAAACTGGAGAATTTAGAAATTGGAGGACTTCAATGCTTTGAAGAAATTAGAGAATTCAAAGAATTTGGAGAATTCAGAGATTTTAAGGAATTTAAAGAATCTGATTTCGCGGATACAGGAAATTGAGAGAATTCAGACAAATTAGTTTTAGAGTACGGGAATTAAGAAATGATTTGTTTTAGAAATTCAAGATTATAAGTTTGGCAATAAGAAATGAAACTACTTGATTAAAATCAGCTTTTCCTGTGTAAAAATAAAAAATCAGTGCACTTTACAAAATTAAGATCTGGTGCCACGTCCAAGTTTCATATCTACGTCAATTTCTGCCCCAACGTGGGTTCGAATCCCGTCTCCAGGCAATTGTTCTCTTGCCTACGACTGCTGTGATTGTCCGTAGGTGGTAGTCGGTTGCAGACCGTCGAACGCGGAGGTACCACCCGGCGGATCTCTAAAATGTACGTGTCACATGCACTCGTGTTCCGATAGTACCCACTAGTACTTGAGCATTAGACCTTCGCGGTGGTTCAAGTATAAACAAGAACGACTGTGACTTACCAGTGCATCCAATGAAGAAGCGTCCACGTTCAAAGGCGGGCTCCGCACATTATCATTGGTCGATATGTGATCGAGAAACTTTTGAGTAACGATATAAAAATCGCTAGGTTGAGACGGAAATTCCGATCCGAAAAACAGAGAACCCATGTGGAACGAGTCGACGCATTTGGCCAGATCTGCTCTTGAAGATTGTTCCAAACTTCTCACGTTCGTTATTATGGCTCTTGTCACTTGGAAGCTCAAGCATTTCGGCCTGTCTTTTTGAGTCGGGTGGTCCACGGAACTTTCGAAATTCACCTAGAAAATGAAAAGAACAGTTTAGTTTCTATTGTTGCAGTTCGGGGAAGTTAAAGAATTCCCATTTTCGATGAGTATATTCCACAGTATTTTCTGCTCCATCATGATACACCAACCCTTTCAAATAGCCCCACAGAAAAAATCGCAGGGCGTTAAATCCGGAGAGCGAGCAGGCCAAGAAATGGAAATCCATCTATTCGGAAACTCATCATTTAGATGTTCATGAACTTCTCGTCAAAAATGTGCTGGAGCCCCATGATGTAGGAACCACATATCTGTCTCACATTTAGATCATCATCTTCTAATAATTGTGTCAGAATGTCGAAAAAAATCTAAATAAATTTCACCGAGGTGGAAAAAAGTACGGTTCGAGTTCTTTTTACAGCATGCGGATTTTCTACTGCCCAAACATGATTTTTGTGAAAACCTTCTTCTAGGGTGATCTTCAGGTTATAACGCTTGCACCCGTTGATAACACTGGACAACAAATTTTAGTTTTTTAATTGTATCTTGTGGGAAAAGTGCACTTCTTTGTTAATTTTGGGGCGCTGAATCCAAAAATGACAATGAAATAAAAAAATTAGTTGCGGTTTAGAAAAAAAACTTTTTATTTTAAAGGATATATTAAAAAAAGTAACAAGATTCATATACTTATAAGAATCACTATATGCGCTGTCTTTTTGCTGTTCTTTTATGGATCGTTTCTGGAGCATCTCTACCAAGAGTCCAACAGTAGTCTGCAAGCATGGAAGGATTCCACTTTCCCTGGTACCTTTTTTCCATTGTTGAAATATCCTGATGAAAACGTTCGCCGTGCTCATCACTTGCGGCTCCGCAATTGTCAGAAAAAAAGTCCAGGTGTGAGTGTTGGAAATGTATCTTAAGAGACATATTACAGCCCATCTTTTGATACGATGACAGCATATTTTTGACAAGGGTTTTATAGTTGTCAGCTTTTCTATTTCCCAAGAAATTAGTGACCACCAGACGGAAATCATTCCAAGCAGTTTTTTCGATACCTGTTAAAGTGTTTTCAAACTGTGTATCTTTCAAAATATTTCGAAGCTGTGGCCCAACAAAAATACCTTCTTTAACCTTTGCCTCACTTAGTCTTGGAAATTTCTGACGCAGGTATTGAAAAGCTGACCCATCTCTATCTAATGCCTTGACAAAGTTTTTCATTAGGCCCAACTTGATATGCAGAGGTGGTAATAAAAATATTTTCGAATCTACTAATGGCATATGCTGTACATTTTTTTTGACCTGGCTCTAGGAATTGACGAACAGGCCAGTTTTGTCTGGTGTAATGAAGTGCGTTTGCCCGACTGTCCCATTCACACAAAAAACAGCAAAACTTTGTGTAGCCTAGCTGCAGCCCAAGTAAAAGTGCAACAACTTTCAAATCGCCACAAATATGCCATTGGTGCTCATCATATTTTATGCATGTCAATAGGTACTTCATATTGTCATATGATTATTTCATGTGAACTGCATACCCTAAAGGAAGAGATGGTAAAATATTTCCAATATGCAATAACACTGCCTTTAAACTCAATGTTGAACTGTCTATAAACAATCTCCATTCTTCTGGGTTATAGTTTATATTTAAAGCCGCCAGTAAGCCGTTAATGTTACTGCAGAAAACCAAGTTATTCTCCATATTGAAAAATGGTTCTAAGTCTTTGTGGCGTTTACGAAAAATACATACCGAAACATCGTCTTCTAACAAGTTCCACTGCTGCAGTCTTGATCCAAGTAACTCTGCCTTACATTTTGGAAGTTCTAAATCTCTTACAAGATCATTTAATTCTGACTGTGTTATTTTGTGCGGTTGGTCATGACGTGCTCGGTATAAAATCAGGATCTCTTGACGTTGATGGCATATCTTCTTCCTGACGAATCACTCGATCGCCATGATCTGATTCGTTTTCTGATTCGCAAGTGTCGGATTCTGGGGGTTTTAGAATAGGATTTTCGTCACTGTGAGGCACAGGTCTCACCGCAGATGGTATGTTTGGGTAGTTAATAACCGATTTTTTTTTCTTGGACATACCTGTGGCTTGTCCAACACAAAGTACCATGCAAAAGTAACAATCATTAATATGATTTGTAGGCTCTCTCCAAACCATTGGGACAGCAAAGCGCATAGACCGTTTTTTGCCATTTAACCAGCTCCTCAGACTTGAAGCACATGTATTACAGCAGATGTGGTGTGCCCACTGTTTGTCTTGATCACCTAGTTTACAACAGAAATAAAGCTGATATGCCCTTGTTATTAGTGGAGTAATAGACCGTCTCTGAGACGCAAAAGTCACATCACCACACACGTAACAAAACTAATCTGGATTGTTTACACACTTTCGAGACATCTTGCATGAACGCTGTCAGCCAACTGAGGAAAAAATGGCTAATATAAAACAATATAATGTACACGTATGTATAACGTAACACAATCATGCCGATTACATCATCTTTCCTTGCCGAATATAAAAATGTAGCACGTGCATTCTTGTGAATTACAGTATATTAACACTGTCACAGCAGGAACACACATAATTACCGTATCTCTAAAACTTGAACTAATATTGAAAAAATAAGTTTCATTCCGGTTTTAGCACATTAAAAATAGTAATATTTTGTTGATTTTATTTAGGATATTTTTTGGCTGTTGATCAGTGAATTGTGGCAGAAAATCTAAATAAATTTCACCGGTCAGTCGAGATGCGGATTTTCTACTGCCCAAACATGATTTTTGTGGAAATTGTGCAGTCCATTTCGTGTAAATGCGGCGTCGTCTGTAAACAAAATTAATTTCGTAAAATCTCCTTCTAGGATGATCTTCAGGTTGTAACGCTTGCACCCGTTGATAATGATAAGGGTAATACTGTTATTGTCGTATTGTCTTTCACACTTTACTATGCGAATCTATACACAGATGCAGGAAATAATATAATAATTCCTTACACAATCATGTGAAAAATGAAAAATAAATACTTACCCTAGGAAGAATTGCCTCTATTTTCACGTCGATATAGGTAAAATTTGAGGCTTGGACTTCATTTTTCGAATCCATTAACGATTGATATAAGTTCAGTCCGAAAGAGTTCATCCAAATGCAACTGTCTACGTCAAAAATTATCAGTATGGGATTCACTTGGGCATAAAACTTAGGAGGTGGCACTAAAAAAATTACATTAGTTCAATAAAAAGTAGATGGTGCGTCAACGATAACATTTCGTTTTGGAAAAATTCAAGTGATTTTTCTATAATACTTAACAAGGCAATATCTTACATGGAAAAGGTATATCGTTGGGGTAATAATAGTAAATGAACTCTGCATGTACAATGCTAGCATCTTTTGGTAACAACATATGGCTTCTATCACCTGAAAATGAAAATATAAATAATATTAAATCATATTTTATACCAACTAATTATACTATGTGACATATAAATCCGAACACCCAGTTTAAATGGTTTTATTTTAATAAAAGTTGGTGAATGTATTTATCTTACTGTAAATAACACGTGAAAAAATTTTCAGCCTTATCAGTTGGACATTCCGGTTTTTATACTGCTTTTTTTTTAATTCACTAACGCTCTAAAAATGAATATTTCAGCCGCAGTAAAGAATCAACGTTGGCGGATTTTGGTTCTTGACATCCTTTACGATCGGTTACGATGCCTAGAGTACGGAGACCTGATTTCGTCAACTTAGTGAGTTTGATAGGGGCCGTATAGTGGGACTTCGGGAAGCTGGACTTTCTTTTCGGGCAATTGCAGTTAGAGTGCAAAGAAGTGTAGACACTGTGGTTAGGTGTTGTCAGGCATGGCTTCGAGAAGGCCGTACGCAAAGAGCAAGGAGCAGTGGACGCAGCCGTAGAACAACAGACCGTGAAGATCGCCGCCTAAGATTATTGGCCTTAAGGGACCGTTTCTCCACTACCAGGTCCATTGCAAATGAATGGTTTGCAGAACACGGAAGACCTATTGGCATGCGAAGTGTTTACCGACGAATGAAAAGTTTTGGCCACACTGGGTCCTCCCTTTAACTCGAGAACACCGACGTAATCGCCTAGAGTGGTGCAGACAACGGTCACTCTGGGATCAGGAATGGAACAGTATTGTCTTTAGTGACGAGTCTCGATTTTGTTTAGGCATGCACGATGGTCGTGCCAGGGTTAGAAGGCGACGTGGTGAAAGGAGGAATCCACAGTTTTTTGTTGAAAAACATGTTCATCACACTGTTGGAGTTATGGTTTGGGGTGCTATAGCTTATGGTTCCAGGTCACCTTTAATCTTCATCAGAGGTAACATGAACGCGCAGCGTTATATCCACGAAGTTCTAGAACCCCATCTTTTACTCTATCTTGACACCCTGGCAGATCCAACTTTCCAACAAGATAATGCCCGACCACATGTTGCAAGAGCCACAATAGACTTCTTTCAACATAATGATGTCACATTGTTACCATGGCCACCAAGATCTCCCGACTTATCCCCAATTGAGCACGTGTGGGATATGATGGGTAGGAGATTGCTCAATTTGTAACGTCCTCCTCAGACTCTAGAAGCACTTCGAGAGGAGTTGGTGGTTGCCTGGAATGAGATACCACAGGAGGACATTGACCACCTGATCAGAAGCATGCCTAGGCGCGTTGGAGAATGCGTAGCACATCAGGGTGCATCCACACATTATTAAAGGTCAAAGCGCTTTAAAGCAGTGCAATCTTTTTGAAATTTTTATCATTTACTTATTATGCTTCATTAAGTACTTATACAAAATTTTATTAAAATAAAACCATTTAAACTGGGTGTTCGGATTTATGTCACTTAGTATATGTTCCACCATCTAAAGAACAGGATCCGGCCACAAAGGTCGGAATTTTTAATCAAAAACAAATTTATTGACGGATTCGGGTTCACAATGAAATAGCGTTTCTCACAATTAAGTGTGGAAAATCACATCAGTCATGTTGTGACTGTTGCTGACGATGCATTGATGAAGGCGTTCTTGAAGACTCTCTTCATCATTCTCCCAACTTGGGCGACTTCCACGAGAATTGCCTCCTTCAACTCGTTCAGAGTTCGGGGCTTGTGCTCGTATACACGAGCCTTGAGGTGTCCTCGTAGAAAAAAAATCGCAGACGGATATATCTAGGGACCGAGGAGGCCAACGAACATCACCAAACCTGGAAATAAGGCGACCACGGAAGAGATGTCGAATAACGTTCTCTGGCTGTGTGGGCGGTCGCCCCATCCTGGTGATCAGTACACCACGTGTGCGAAGTGATTGAACCCAACGAAGGATGGTGTTTCGAGAAGGAACAGCTCGATGAATATTGGAGTGGCGACTAATCGCACGCTGTACAGCCGTGATAGACTCATTATACATACCCACCAGTCTCGCCCGAATAGGCGGAGAGTACTAGCCATTTCAAAAACACCCGTCCTTTGTGACGGACCCTGTATAAGGACACCAAAGTAAGTAAGTATCAGCATCTACTGTTTAGAAAGCTTGAAGATCTTTTACTAAAAGTAAATTATTGGTTTTTAAGACCAGACGATACTTTTCTTACAGCAACACAAATAACGATTGTAATTTGAAATGTACTTCAAATTTCAGTGGTCACTGACTCAGACTTTTTAGCGATTGCACGACATGTTGGTGAACATTTTCCATTTCCTTTAAACTGTTTACGAGTCCAAATTGTTATAAAATCGACCAAGGTCGCCGACTTTATTTATGACGAGATTACGAGGGATGTCTTATAAGTTATAGAAACATAGTAGTCCGCGCGGATCGAACGTCAGTACTGAATCTTAACCTCACTTTTTAGTAAACTAAAATTCATACAGTGAATGTTTAAGTGTCACCAAGTCATTAGAAAAATGGAACTCAACCGAGAACATTTTCGCGCCATAATTTATTACAACTTTCAGAGGCAATTATCGCAACAAGAATGCCCTGCTGAGTTACTGTCTGTTTTCGGCAACGAAGCGCCACATCAGTCGACAATTTTCCGTTGGTATGGAGAATTCAAACGTTGTCGGGTGAGTCTTAGCGACGATCCCAGGGTGGGTGTACTAAAAACGGCAGTCACCCAGGAAAACGTCGATGCTGTGCAAAAAACTCATCATTGAAAATAGACATGTGACATATCGCGAGATTGAGGCGTCCTTGAAGACCTCAAAGACCTCAATTCAAAAAATTTTACATGAAGAATCAGGAGTAAGAAAATTAGTTTCTCGTTGGATACCCCACCTGTCGACTGAATAGCAGAAAGCAGCCAGGGTTAATTGGTGTCAAAAAACGCTGGACCATTTCAATTCCGGAAACTCAAAAAATGTGTACAGCATTGTTAGTGGTGAGAAAAGCCAACAAATGTCATCCGTTTCGAAAAAGATGGTCGCGACATTTGTGTCAAAAGCGGGTCATATTGCAACAATTATTCTTAATGAGAGCATGCAGATCTATATTAATCTTCGTGGAGAATACTTCGAAAAACAATAGTCATTTGAAACTACCTACCGTGTTGTTTTATTTCCATATGCAAAACTTAAAAGACATCCCTCGTATTGATTGTTTTGAATAAACTAAATGCAGTTAATGCTAAGTTTCAAGCCAATATTCATAAATATGGATATTTATTCAAAACTTCATCTACACATACACGAGGTCATAAAAAGATATATTTTAAATGAAATTCACACTAAATTTATGTAGATAAGTTCGATGTTTGTATGAAATCTAACATGCATAGCAGTGTTTCGTAGCTAAAATATGGAAGAAACTAAAAGTGCTAAAGTACATCTAACAAACTGCATTTGATCTTTTAGATAATCTACTTCTCGTAGAAGTAGCACAGATCTAAAGTTACCGTTCCACGCAGCGAGAAAACTGAAACCAATTCGCAAGATAAATGGCATAACGCTGATACATAAAATCAGTCACTGTTACTAAGAAATATACTTATATATAAAATGCAACACCCAGAATTATTTACTGATTTTGATAAAAACATTTTTGCTGTCATGGATGTATAAGCCGTACTTTTCTTGTAACGACTTTTTTTGTCATGATCAGAACAATTTGAATATGTTTATTTAATAATAGCTAAAACAGTAGAAATCTAGAAGTACCCCACGACTGACGATATGGCGCTTAGCTGCGGCTCTTTTAGTATAAAAAATGTGTATACCACTAGTCTCACGAATCAATCTCAGGTTTGGCCGCGGACGCTACCGTTGCTGGCGTAGCGAATATCAAAGTTTGCGATTAAAAAAATTATTCATTTCCTAATGAGTCTCATGAAGCATAATACAGCAGACGCTCGATAATGTAAACTAATTTAATCCAAGTGTGGTTTACATTATCGAAATGTTTACATTAGCGAACGTGATTTATATAATATTTGATTTATTAAAAGAAACGTTTAATACATACTATTTATAACAAAATAAACAAATATTCTAACAGCGATAAGTATTTTTTTAATTAGAAGAAAAATAATTAACAATTTTTGTCTGCGTAAATTTGTCTTCCAATGCCTGCGCCCGTAATTTACGAAGATCTAAAATATCCGTGTATGAAACTTCTTTTCTTTCAGCCCAATCTAAAGCTTGGTTAAAAACTTGTATAGCTTGCGCGTCAGTCACTACACTTCTGACTTCAGTGGGATCGTTCTCATCATCCTCACTGTCCATATCCTGCTCCTTATCAGCATCATTCGTCTGCTTATCTTCGTTCCATAAATTAATATCAGCAGGAGTACAAACAATGTTGGGATTCACTGTTTTCAATAAATCAACAACATCCAATGACACACTAATAACATTATCATTCTTGGATCGCAAACGTTCTCTAATTACGCTTAAGGGGACATCGTCTTCTTCATCATCTTCATTATTGGTACAAAAGAGATTGTTCCAACATTTTTGAATAGTTTGCTGGTTAAGTTCATTCCAGGCCATATGTAAATCTAAAACAGCTTCTCGTAATGTTGCTTTTTTTAAAGCCTCAGATAAGTTTTCAGGATTCTTTGATAAGACAGACGAAAGTAGAAACTTCCTATAGTATAGTTTAGTGAGTCTTATTATATTCTGGTCCATCGGTTGAATTAACGGTGTTACGTTGGGCGGCATGTACATGACGAAAATTGACCCATCCCTGCTCCTCAGTTGTTGCTCGGGAGGATGACTTGGTGCATTCTCCAATAGTAACAACGCTTTTATTGGAAGCTTCTGTTGTTTTAGGAAACCTTTTACCTACAAATTGAAAACACATCTTCAAATTATGAATAGAGCATTTGTGATAATTGATTGTCATACTTTAGGGACAAAGCACCTGTGGAACCATTTCAGGAATATACTGCTAGTCATCCAAGCGGTTTTTGAACAGTCATAATCAACAGGGATATTAACATTTTTAAATGAGCGCGGATTTTTTGCTTTCCCAATTACCAGTGGCTTTATTTTGTGTGAACCATTAGCATTAGTGCAGGCTAGAAACGTTATTCGTTGTTTCTCCGGCTTTCTTCCCGGGGCAGATTTTTCAAATGATGCAGCATAGGTTTTCTCTGGTAACATTTTCCAATAAAGGCCACTTTCATCTGCGTTGTAAATTTGTTCCATTCTTAAATCTAGCTCGGTAATTGTTTTCATCAATTTTTATTTGAATGGTTACACTAATTGTGGTTGTGCTGATAATTTTTCACCAGATATAGACAGCAGTCGAATTCCATATCTTGTTTTGAATCGTTGTAGCCAGACATCACTAGCTATAAAATTTTCAGTTTCTTTCAGTTTTTCATTTAACAGTCTCGCTCTATGTTTAAGTACTTCGCCACTAACTGGGACATGATTTTCCCGTTGTTTTAAAAACCACTTATACAGGGAATGTTCCATTTTAGGTGCCTTCGCATTTTTTAAAGTTTTTCTTTTTCCCGAACCTCCAAATGTATTGCACGTTCTTTGTAAAATTTGAGTTTTCATACGCTTAATTTTACAGACTGTTGCTTTCGATACTCCATATTTTTTTGCAAACTGTGTCACTCCCGCACCTAGTGCAACTTCGTCTATGATTTGCACTTTCTTCACTCAACTTTAAACACTTTCTTTTAGAGGATGTGGATGCCGTAGTCGTAAAATATATTAACGCGTGCAATGTATTCACTTAAGTTCAAAAATAAAACACATACGTACGTATAAACGTATCCTAAACGATCATACGACTGACCGAGTTTGTCGTATTTTATCGCAGAGGTGAATCCCCTACACTCTACATCATAAATCGGGGACTCCCCGACGCCCGACATAAATCATCGAGGCTTCAGCATTTTACCGTCGCGCTGTTTCCGTGCGCCGAGAGTTGTTTACGTTATCGCGCGTTCCGTTTGATCCTATAGAACGAAGTTTGTGTTCACATTAGCGCAAGTTTTCATTATCCCGTGTTTACGTTATCGAGCGTCTGCTGTAATAGCATTTTTTTGTCTAATGATCAACTGCAGTTTAATCTTGCACTAAACTTAACGTCCGCTACCCCAGTATTATAACACACATCTAAAATCTGGAATACCATTGAGTTTCAAGCTGCAGAAAAAATACAATCCCCATCGCACCGAAAGCCAATCAAAAATATCTACTAAAAAATTTCTAATTTACAAATACCTGAATTAAATTTTTTATCTCTCCGCTTATGTTGGGCTACCGAATAAATTTCATTGTTAGTATAACACATTCACAGTTTTTAGTTTGAATACAAAAGGTCTGTTCCAAAAGTATTGGACTCGGAGATTTCCTTCGCGCGTTGAGCATGCCAGACAAACCCGCCAGGCGTCTGACTTCGTGAATCGAGAACAGGTTCCTTTGTCCATAGTGTGGAAACTAACTATCTGAGAAGGCACTTACGCAGCTCAAAAATCAGTGTCTTTGTTATATTATGAGTCTTATTGTCATTTATCTATTTTATTCATGTTTGTATTTATTTTTGTATGGGTTAAGTGGAGGAATAAATGAAGCCAAACTTCGTCCAAATAAAAAGACGTTTATTATTATTATTTTTATATTTCATTTTCGCGGTTAGAATACTTTTCCGTCAGTAAGTCAAAAGAGTCCAATACTTTTAGAGCAGATCTTGTATACTGAAACCACACTTACCACAAATAAATTCCTTGAGTGCCTGTTTTTTTCCGGAGGTGGTGACCTTATAAAGAGCGAAATCTTCTATTCTGATGATAGTACAGGCTGTCATCAGCTTCGAGAGCTGAATTTCCACTTTTTTTCGAATATCCTTGTGTCTGTAACCGGCTGGATTCTTCGAATCGGGACTAGTAGCTGCTGAATTAGGTTGTTCCGTAGGCTAGCAATGCAGAAAAGATATTTCAAAAACTTATTCAAATGATAGCGCGAAAGTATTTTGAAGCCCAGGAAGTCCCAAAAATGTATACAGGGTGTCCCAGAAGTCGACGTCAAGCCGAAAGCGGGTGATAGGCAAAGTCATAACAGCTATCAGAAAAATATTTAAAAAAATTTTATGTATGTGTTTTGAAAATTATAGGTCTTTGAAAAAAATATAGAAATTTCACACCCTACGGCAGTCTGTCAACTCCTGTTACTACAAATATTAACTTTTTTTGGATTTTATTTTTACAATGTAATGATGAATAATGCATCTTCAAACTGGTGTCTCAACCTTACTGCCAACTTTTCTCGTTCAGGAAAAATTGCCACTTATTTCCCAACCAAGTATTCCAAAGTAAAACTTTGCTCAACTTTAACTGGCTGTACTGGAAAAAAATGAGAGTTTGGCAAGTAACCTTAAAAGTTGGCGCATTTAATAAGGATTCCAAAATGGTATAACACTTAGAAGATTACTCGTTAACTTATGCACAATTTTTATTTGAAGAAAAACTGATGAAAATTTTTCATTATTTCCTAATTAAACAGCGATTATGAAAACGCACAAGGACAATAAACCTCAGCAGTCAAAGTCTCTGGGAACTCAAACGGACCGATTATTTTACCATTTAAAATTCCTGTCCAATGGTTTATCTTGAAGCGATATTGAGATTTATCTTCTCTCATCAAATGTGGGTTTGCGACGTGCCACTCGTGTAAGTTATGCAGGTTCATGTACCCATCTTTCTTAAATGTGGTCTCATCTGACCATAAATTTTTTTCAAAGAACCGTGGATCTTCCCTGTGTCTTTCTAACATTGTGCGACAAAAAGCAACTCGGGGCTCATAATCCCGGGGCAGAAGAGCTTGAACACGCTGTACGTGGTATGGACGGAGCACGTTTTTTTGCAAGATTCTATGGGCTGTACTTTTGGGCACACCTGTTTTTAGTTCTATTGCACGCACTGAAGTACTCGGTTCTTCTTCGACAGCTCCTAGCACCACGTGTTCGTAAGGAAGGAAAGATCTTCCCTCACCGTGTGATTGGTTTGGTAGTTGGCCCTCTGAGAACAGTAAGCGGTGCACATTTGTGAACACTCGATGATCTGGATGACGAGCTGTTCAACCAGGAATTTTAAATGGTAAAATAATCGGTCCGTTTGAGTTCCCAGAGACTTTGACTGCTGAGGTTTATTTAGGTTTTTTGCAAAATCATTTAGAAAATTTATTGGAGGACGTGCCACTGAGTATTTACAGGGACATGTGGTTTTAGCATGATAGCTGCCCAGCGCACTATGCACTTTCAGTGAGAGAGTATCTCGATCAAAACTTTCCAGGCAGATGGATAGGGCGGTCTGGTACAATACCGTGGCCAGCCCGGTCACCAGATTTGAGTCCGTTAGATTTTTTTTACTGGGGAACTGTAAAAGAAAAAGTGTATTTCAAGCCGATTCAAAATGTAGCTGAGCTACGGCAAAGACTGAGCAGCTGAGTTTGTTAATAACCGTGGATTCGCTCGTTTAATAACCCGATCTTTTTTAAGAAGATGTCGAGCGTGTATTGCGGCTGATGGAAAACAGTTTGAGCATTTGCTGTAAAGGTAAATCATCATCAGCAGCATTTTGACGCCCACTGTTGTGCAAACAGTTATCCTTAAGGGTCCTTGTGCGTTTTCATAATAGCTGTTTAATTAGGAAATTTTGAAAAATTTTCATCAGTTTTTCTTCAAATAAAAATTGTGCATAAGTTAACGGGTAATCTTCTAAGTGTTATACCATTTTGGAATCCTTATTAAATGCGCCAACTTTTAAGGGTACTTCCCAAACTCTCGTAGTACATTTTTTTCCAGTACAGCCAGTTAAAGTTGAGCAAAGTTTTACTTTGGAATACTTGGTTGGAAAATAAGTGGCAATTTTTCCTGAACGAGAAAAGTTGGCAGTAAGGTTGAGACACCAGTTTGAAGATGCATTATTCATCATTACATTGTAAAAATAAAATCTAAAAAAAGTTAATATTTGTAGTAACAGGAGTTGACAGACTGCCGTAGGGTGTGAAATTTCTATATTTTTTTCAAAGACCTATAATTTTCAAAACGCATACATAAAATTTTTTTAAATATTTTTCTGATAGCTGTTATGACTTTGCCTAGCACCCGGTTTCGGCTTGACGTCGACTTCTGGGACACCCTGTATATTGCAGCAATGTTAACTAATTCTCGTAGAAGACGACAACCATATTTGGACGTTCAATTACAGTTTCCATTATCGCAGCCATATTTTAAGTTAGCTCTGACTGTATTGTTCAGACAATAAAGCATATCTATCTATATTTTAGATTTATAATGGTTTTTAAGGTATTAAACTCACCTTTGGTGATCTAGTGAGAGGTGTATGTTGAGTCTTATTTTTATCAATGAGATCCATAACTTTAGTCTTGAACGAATTTAACGCTTGATCTTGCCACATCGAATGAGGCACAGCTGTCGAGTTGTACCTTGGCCAGTGTTTCCTATTTCCTACAAAACAAACATTCTCTTTAGGATTGATAAAAGCATCAAAAAATCCTTACCTTTAGCTAGATGATACGGGTAGAAATCTACTTGAAATTTCTTGACGCTTATCTGCAATGCTCCACCTTCCTTTAAGTTGGGGTGGCAGGATCTACCAGCTGGTAAAAAAAAAATAGAAATTGTTTTTAACTTTTTCGCGTCAATTTTATATCAATTGATCAATACTCACGTCCAGGGTCATCGCACAAATGTAGAACTATTTGATTGGAAAGGAAATGGTAGGACGTTTCAATAACATCATAGGTTGCAAACACCCGACTTGTTTTGTCATTGACATCAGTGAATTGGGCCTCTTGCGCTAGTTGTGCTTGATATTCTGGTAACTCCTAAAATAAGATCGAATTGATATTGTCAAAACATTAATCCTCATCTAAGTATACAGGGTGTATATGACTCAGAGTCCAAAAGTCAATAGATTTTTGTCTAAATGGCTTTATAAACGTTTTTAAATTGGGTAATTAACAAATAAATGGTATTAAGTTTTCCTAAGTTAAGCCAAAATTTGTAGTCAGTAAGAAAGTAAGTTTCATTAATTTAAATATTTAAAACACACATGACAACAGCACGTCGGTCATTCATCACTCTTATCGAACCGGCAATCGATCGCAAACGGTACCAGAACTTTTGGAACAGACCTTAGACAACATGCCATTACAACGGAGACAGAATTTGTGGTTTCTTCATGACGGGGCACCACCACACATTTTTAGAGGCGTCATTCAGTATTTGAATGAACATTATCCAAATCGCTGGATCGGTCGAAATACTCCTGATCCTCGAAAATGGCCAGCAAGATCTCCTGACCTCAATCCGATGGATTTCTGGTACTGGGGAGAACTTAAAGGGATGGTTTATTCCAATAACAACTGAAGCACAACGTCGCGAAAAAAATTTAATGCGGCTGAAATAATAAATGGACAACTTCGAGGATCTAGAGTAAGAAGAAACTGGGTTCGACCTAATGAAGCTTGTGTGGAAAGTGGAGGACGACATTTTGAACACCTTCTTCGTTCAACAATGCCTGGATGATACTATAAAAATGCAGCTCCCCAGATATGTCAACAAGGACTCCAGGACGAGCCTTATCTTTTTTTAGGTTTGATCAATTAACTCAGTTTTCCAGCAATTTGCAATTGACAACATCTCCTCGTTCATAGTCAAAGATTGTATTCATGTCATTGTTAAACCATTATCAAAAGTATATGATCTCAAGCAACCAATATCCTGATATACTCAGTGACATGTAATAAGAAACAAAATTAATGTGTCGAACGATCCGGTATGTTTTCTATTTTTGTTAGTGTGATTTTTCTTTTTTCTTAAGATTGTCCTGTATATGATTTCCTTAACTGGGTGATAAACGCTATTTATTTGTTATCTATTTCTGACGAATTTGCGATACAAACCTCCAATTTTCTAGCTGCCTTCGCTTTTCTGGTGATCTGAGTTGCCTTTTGTATCAGCCCTGCTAAGGAGTCCAAAAAATGTAAGGCTGCTTTTAGCTGAGAATCTGTTAGAACCCACAAGAGGTCATCAAGTATTATAGCCAGCCTCGAACCAAGTATGTAACAATCTAGAAAAAGAAAGGGAGAATCTAGTTATACAGACAAGATGTGTATAGGAAACTCCGGAAAATATTTGTTTTTTTTTTTAGTTTCTGTCCAATATGATAGACAGATTAAATCAAATATTAGAGACGATTAGTGATGGTGATCCCAACTTATGTTCATTACAAGTATAACATAATTCATCAATGAATCAATTTCGGACAATAAACATCAACAATCTAAAAAAAAGCTATCTCAGAATTGAAATCTATGATGATAAATCTTCGATTTAATCATTTCTTACTTTTGTCAAAGTTGAGCGCAGAGCTGATGGTTTGCTTTCACTTATAGAATCAAATCTTACAAACAATTTATATTTTACCTGATATTCTTTTCTTTATAACTATCCTACATCTGGCCTGATTAGTCAATAACCTCAAAGGTGTCAGATTGTCATCGACAGTCGACTTTGCTTCTATTCTAACAGTTTGCCATTCAAGTTCCTTGAAAATGAGTAGCTGACCTTTTTGCGGATTCTTCAAACGAGTCATTCTCAGATCGGACTTTGTAAACTTTGGCGTTTTCGACTCGACTAGTATTCTTGAAATCTACAATGGCGTCATATAGAAACGGTTTATATAAAACAGTATACATGCCTAGAATAAGTCTTGATGGAATTATTCTAGACGTAGCTTGTATTCGAATGAAAAATACCTGGATAGAAGCTGTGAATGCGGGACTGTTGAACAGAATATTCACGGTGTTGACTGTAACAGTTATACCATCGATGACCTTATGTATAAAACTATACTTCCCAGGAGCTGTAGCATATGAAGACAGGCCGCCTTGGGGTGATGTTGTGCGTAAATCCTGGCATGTCTCCACTGTTATATTCACCTCATCTAAGCTCTAGAAAACCGAATAAAAAATAGATGTTTTGTGAAACAACAGGTAAATATTCGCTGTAGGGTGAATTTTTGGGAGCAAATACTCAAGTCTAAGGTATAGATCACGGGGTAGCTAAACAAGTAAACCATTTGCTTCTGGATGATGGAAACAGTTTGTGTATAGGGTCAGGTATCTTTTTGAGAGTATAAAGCATCCCACAAACCGGCGCGAAATAATCGCGGCGAAGTATTCGCAACGAAATTCAGAGCGAAATTCGCAATCTGTTTCGCCTGTTTATTCATAGCAAAGCGTCTTATTCGCTCCGCGAACGTGAAGGTTTCGACAGGTTGCGTACATTTTATTTTTACCTTTTGCAATGAGCTCGTCTTCAGAAGAAGAGGAGGCACTTCTATTTCTTGCTTTAGAAAAAGAACAAAATGCACAGTAAGTTATGTTTATTTAACGCCATTTGATAGTTGGGTATGTATTAAGTTTAACGAAGTACATAAAACAAATATTTTCAATTTTGTTTAGGAAACGAAGGAAGTGGATACATGATATTAACTTGGAACGAAATAAATTTGGGGAATACCATACCTTGATGCCACAACTTCGGCTGGATGAACAGCGCTTTTACGTATATTTTAGAATGACTCCAGAGTGTTTCGATGAAATATTGAACTTGGTGAAAAATGAAATACGAAAATCTGACACAAATTATCGTGAAGCTATTTCGCCAGAAGAACGACTTGCTATTACACTTAGGTAAAAAAATTATATGTATTAAAATTAGTAGGCTTATCGAATACGAAAACTTCAGGGATCGTGAAATAAATATTTTATTGTAATAATTGGACTACATGTTGCCACTAGGATTAAATGTTGCTAAATAATTCGAGGCAGAATTTGCCTCCTCTGTTGGGTATATTATTGGAGTAAACCCAGTGCCACTTGGGAAGGACGACATACTACTATCATACATACTTGCAGAATTCTGGGTAGACGCTGAAGATATTTCTTCAATATGTTCAAATTCTTCGTGCGCTATTAATTCGCCTATTTTTAGTTTTATTCGGGCTTGACGCTTTAAGGGAAGTATTTTCACAGTCTGTGCATGTGCCAAGAAAAGTGAATCAATGGCCTCGTTCTCTTTTTTAGGTTTTTTACCTTCAAAATAATTAATGAGCTGTTGTACAGACGAAGATAGTGGTTCGTAGCGTTTTCTGCTCGTTTTATATTTTTTTGTAGTTGCAGTCTGCGGAAAGGTGTGCCCTGGAGTAGTCACTGCTGTAGTGTTCAATGAAGAAGGTGGTGCTGTCTGTGTTGCCGAGGCGTTCTGTGCATCTTCTGCATCTACATCAGCATTTTCATCTTCTCCATGGCCGCGGTCTTCCAAATTTTCGGTTTCTACATTTCCAGCCCTTTCCTGATATATATTTGAGTTAAATTCGGCAGTCTCATAATGTATGACGTCAATATCTTTCACATTAGACTACGTTTTGGCAAATGCCAAAAAAGGACGGAAAAATTCCATGTAGTCAGCCCACTGCCATTTTTTTATGTAGCCCACTGCTTGGCCGGTCTTTGGTTTGGTAGATTTTATATATTTTGCAAATATGTCTCTGATATTCTTCCATCTTTTTTTTTACTTCATCACCTAAAAACGATTTTTTTTATAGATTCCTTGCCACTGGTGACACCTTCTATACCATTGGGCATAGCTTTCGAGTTGGCTTTACAACAGTGAGTGCAATCGTAACCGAAGTCTGTGAAGCGATATGCAGACATATGGAGCATATATATTTACCAGAACCAACAGAGAATATATGGAAAAAATGTGCTGAAGAATTTGAAAACAGATGGGGATTTCCCAATTGCATTGGCAGCGTGGACGGTAAACACGTAACAATCAAGAGACCTAACAACAGTGGCTCCAATTACTGGTGCTATTTACATAAATATTCAATAGTACTTATGGCCATTGTTGGCCCGGACTATAAATTTATATGTGTTGATATTGGTGGTTTCGGAAAAAATAGTGATGGGGGTATTTTCGAAACCTCAAACATTGGAAAACGATTTGAACAAAATTTAATGAGTGTCCCTGCACCTAGATTTCTCCCTGGGCAAAATGAAATCTGCTCGTACGTCTTAATTGGTGATGAAGCATTTGCTTTAAAACCATACCTTATGAGACCATTTCCTTATAAGCAGACTTTAACAGACGTCAGAAAAGAGAAATACAATGTAAGACTTTGTCGAGCTAGAAGGGTCGTGGAAAATGCGTTTGGTATTTTGTCTCAAAAATGGCGAATATTTTACAGGCCATTAGAAACTAAAGTAGATACTACTATTCTAATTGTACGTACGGCATGTGTTTTACACAATTTTTTACGAAGTAAAAGTGGCGATGACAAATATTTTCAATTCTTAGATCCCCAGAACCCGTGCTTGGAGCTTTTACTGATATAGCAAATGATCCTCGGCGGGCAGCAAGGCTAGCATTTTCTACTCGTGACAAATTCGTAAATTATTTTATTTCTGATATGCCTATGCCCAATATATAGAATGTTCGTTTTCACATTTGTGTAGACTGTAAATTATTTAACAAGTTAATAAAAAATATTAGGTACATACCATTTGTATTTAATTCTTTTCCTATTTCCATCCAAATCTTGTCTTTCTTTCTCACATTCCTGTATTCATCGTTCGACAAATCATACAAACAAGGATACTTTTTCACTATTTCTATCAATAATTCCGTTTTTGCCATTGCGAATTTTTGAAGGACGGCGTCAAAAACGCGGTCAAAGGCGAACTGAAATAGGCCGCGATAAAAACGCTAGAACAATCGCATTCGCTTCGCACAAGCCTGAGCCTGTCCATAAACCGCCGCGTTTTAATCTGATCGCGAATTCATCGCCGCGAAATTTTCGCAGCCAAAGCGAATATTTCGCGCCGGTTTGTGGGATGCTTTAGTTAATCAATGAGGTAAACTCTTAAAATACAGTATATAAAGAAAACAAATACTACTTTTCACAGTAGACTAAACTAAGCTTGTGTTGGAGTAGTGTCATTCATTTTGCAGTAGTGTGAAGGAGATTGGTTTTGCAGATAGAAATGCAATCTAGAAAGTAATGTAATAGTTACTGTTTTCAATGTTTCACTTTTTTATATCCTCAACAAAAAGCAAAGAATTTACTTGAACATTTAACTGATCTTACAATGACATCAGTAGCCAAGGTTAGGCTCATTGGCAAGGATAAATTTAAACTTAATCATGTCTGCAATTGAAAGTAGATTTTTCTCATTGAAAATTCATTTGATTTTCAAATATCCTTAGAAGTAGGGCTTTCCATTTGAGAAAACTGCCCTGACTGTCAAGGTCGTAGTATAGGTCACGTTCAAGGTCACCATTAGATTATCTTTTCAAACCTTACAACTTTATAGACAAATTTTTTTTATTAAACATATTTTTTAAGATGGCTTGTTTTTTCCCTACTTTCTGAACCCCCTGCCAAACTGTCGCGGCCTTCAAATGACCTTGAGAGTCATAATCAGGGTCACATTCAAGGTCATCATTATATGAATCTTTTCAAACCTTACAACTTTGTTCCACAACATATGTTTTCAGAAAACGTATTTTTCAAGATATTGATCTATCCAAAGCTTTTTGAGTGATCATGCTTTTCAAGGTTTTGTACTGGTTTTTATAGGTCTTAAACTTATTAACAAAAATATCTAAACATTCCTAAGATGGTTGTAAAATATAAATTATTATATTAGAGTATAGAGTGAGAGTAAAAGTAAATGATTTACTGTTAATTTATTATTTTATAGTGATTTAATTTTGAAGAAAATAATGTGTTAAGTTTTCCGGGATTTTCCGACTTTTCAGGAAAATGAAATTGTACCTGATGTCATTATTTCGACGAGTTACCCCAGATTAAAAATATCTGCTAAACTTTTTTCACCTAAACTTTCTATATCTATTTAAAGTGCCTCAGGTCCTCAACTAGAGGATCTTATATCAAACCTTGTTTGTCTTTGTGTATTTGATATGACGATCATTTGCAAGCAACACTTCTTTAACCGACTCAATATGTTGACTAACGACTTACCAAATGTATAGGTACACTTTTCAGCTTCGTCCAGGGTATCCTGAATGTAACTTTATTACACCAGGCTTTCGTCAAATGCAACCATGATGGCAACTCCAACAGGTCAGTCAAAACAATTTCATTCAGTTCCAAGTTTGATAATTCGCCTTCCCCCTTGAACGTGCTTAGATTTATTTTGTCCGCCGATAAGTTCTTGGTGAATCTACAAAGATTTGATTGGAACACAGCTCGATATGAGAAATGTGTTTATTTACCTGGATAGGTGTTTGAGGAGTTGATTTTTGATGATAGACACCATGATTGTGGAAATACACTACACTGAAACACTTAGACAGAAGCATAGGGGTATTTGAGCATGATTTTTTGTGAAATCGAATAGAGTAAAATTGGAAATCGGTTTCGAAACGTCAATTTTCCTTTTTATTTTTCACGTAGCTCTCCCAGACTAGTGGAGTTTGCTCATATCGTTGCTGTCATTTTGACAGATATATGTGTGGTTAAAATCGCACGTTACAGAACAACAAATTAGCTTTTAGTTCTGTGTCAGAAACCTCAAAACGCATTTGGTTATTATAGAATGCATGCAACTTATGTGGCTTGCAGCAATAATACGGGTTGCCTACCTCCAGGTCATTTTTGTTTGAAATGGAAATCCAGGCAATTTGGTGAAGATCGAATTGGGCATTTTGTGGAAGAGGACAAGCTAAACCTGTGGACAACAAGGAAAATTTTACTAAATTCAAATTTCGATATTTTCGGAACGGAAAAAGATAACGAGCTGCGGTATTCGGGAGGTCCTTGAGAACACGTACAGGGTTTGACCGGTACATTTCTTCTATTTATTCATTCATACAGGGTGGGCAAAGGATGGCACGTTTCCAAGTTACAGAGTGATAATTTAGAAAAAAAATTTCTACTAATATCAACAAATTTTTACTCGATTCTGTTCAAATTGGTCCAGGGGCGTTCCGGGGGGCACGTTAGCAAATATTATTGTCAAATAAATGAGCAGCACTGCCTTTTTGTAAGTTTAATATTTGTTGTTTAAGTATCTCAAAATACAACTTCTTTGCCTCTTGTATTTTTTTCGTATCTCACTTCGTTTTCGAGAAAAAGTGTGGCCGGTATGAAATCAAGCCCAAACTTCTCATTCGTCAGTAAACACTTCGCATGCCAATAGGTCTGCCGTGTTCTGCAAACCATTCATTTGCAATGGACCTGGTAGTGGAGAAACGGTCCCTTAAGGCCAATAATAATAAACACCTAACCACAGTGTCTACACTTCTTTGCACTCTAACTGCAATTGCCCGAAAATAAAGTCCAGCTTCCCGAAGTCCCACTATACGGCCCCTATCAAACTCACTAAGTTGACGAAATCGTACAGGTCTCCGTACTCTAGGCATCGTAACCGATCGTAAAGGATGTCAAGAACCAAAATCCGCCAACGTTGATTCTTTACTGCGGCTGAAATATTCATTTTTAGAGCGTTAGTGAATTAAAAAAAAGCAGTATAAAAACCGGAATGTCCAACTGATACAGCTGAAAATTTTTTCACTTGTTATTTACAGTAAGATAAATACATTCACCAACTTTTATTAAAATAAAACCATTTAAACTAGGTGTTCGGATTTTTATGTCACTTAATATAGTTAAATTAACGGCAAATCTTAAAAATGTATTTTCTTAAAAATATAGATTCATTTATCTCTTACTAAAAAATGTAAACAACTTTTTATTCGAGAGATAATAGGATATGAACACGTAATACAATCGGTATTTAATACTTTACTATAATCTCACTTTTTTTACGTGATAGTATGCTGGTTAGTACATTCACTATAGATAAGGCGATAAAAAAATCGTGTGAATAACTTACTTAAGTTGCTGTGATGTCATGCAGTTTCTCCAGAAACATCGGAAGAAGACACAGTATCCAACGTGAAAATACATACAAAGAGATGCACCACTCGCCTTATGAACCACTACAACTGATAATGTCATGTCACATTTTCACACACACAATTATCATCACAAAAATGTGGTCCACTCTTTTAACATCATCGCGACGCGGCTGGGAATCGCCGACAAAGGTTTCCTTTCACACCACAACAACGACAGAAGCAAAGCGCTGCACGGTGATCGCGACGCTACAGCCTCCAGTCGCGCCGACCGCCGACCGACAACTGATGTTAGTTCGCATCGCATGGCAGTACGGCGGTACGGCTATCGTCGATCGGTGTCGTCATTGGTTGGAATTTAGCCACGCCTCCCAATCTCTATTGGCCGTCTACGTGAACATCAAGCGTGCTGATTACGAAGTAGGAGGGTAATGTTTTAATGATTTGGTTCTAGTTCTACCAATCGATGTTGTGGGTACACAACGATAACGATTCTGCTTAATAGTGAGAGATTAAAATTAAAATCTTCAAAACAACTGTAAGGTTGTTCGCCTCAAAATCGTATTTTTACCATGTTACTTGATCAAAAATGAAGCGATTCTAGTTTGAAAAATAAAAACGACTTTGTCAAATATTGACAAGTGAGGCGATGTTGAGTTTAGAATGCCATTCTCTATCGAGTAAAGTAAAAATATATGGGGTGTCCCATTTATAAGTGGCAAGTTGGAGTCATTTCCGCTCAAAACAAGTGAATATGTTAAAAAATGTAAAATCATCTATAACACGCAACTCCGTTTTTCTATCTTCAATAATAAAAACGTTATAGGGGTAAGCCATAAGCTATAAGTAAAGTGATGGAGAGGTGTATAAATCGCAAGCTTCTGGACTACCTCGAACGTCACAGCTTGATTAGCGACAGGCAGTACGGTTTCCGGTACCAACGATCCACAGGGGACCTCCTAGCTTACGTCACGCAACTGTGGAGTAAACTCATCCATTCTCATAGTGAGGCTTATGTCGTTGCTCTTGACATCACGAAAGCCTTCGATCAGCTGTGGCACGCTGCCCTCTTGAGCAAACTTCCATCCTACGGCCTCCCAGAAAAGCTTTGCAGATGGGTGGCTGACTTTATCTCTGGCCGCAAGATATTCGTCGTAATTGACGGATTCTCCTCTTCATCCCACAACGTCAACGCGGGTGTTCCCCAGGGATCGGTCTTGGCTCCGACACTGTTTCTCTTACATATCAACGACCTCCTTTCCTGCACGATCAACCCAATCCACAGCTTCGCTGATGACAGCACTCTACATGCAGGAATTCAGAGTGACAAGCCGATCTCTGCCGCTGAGCTGGAAAAAAGAAGAAGACCTTCTCACTCTATACAAGGCCCAGATAAGGCCTAGCCTCGAGTATTGCTCACACATTTGGGGTGCTGCCGCCCCGACTACATTGTCCATGCTCGATGCTGTCTCGGGACTCTTTCGCACCGGCGGGCCGTCGGCGATCTAGCTCTTTTCTATCGCTACACCAACGGGCTTTGCTCCTCAGAGCTCTCTTCCATGATGCCGCCGCGCGATGTGCCTGCCAGACAGACCCGCCTGACTTCGGCGTCCCATCCAAACCGTGTCAAACTTCGTACATCCAGAACTGGCCGATACGACCGCTCCTTTGTCTCGAGGGTGTCTAGATTGTGGAACAATCTACGGGAGGAAGCTTTTCCCAGTTCTACTAACCTTAGGCAGTTCAAAAATCGTATTAACAAAATTTCTTTGGTATCATCATAGCAGCCGCGGTGTTCCGGCATTTAGGCTTCTGCCTGCGCGGCTGTTTCGATATAAAAAAAAAGCCACATTGGAGAATCACCCGGTAGATGGCGTTCATGGTGTATAGGCTACGGTAATCACGAATTTGGTAAATAATACGATCAAATCGGCTATAAAACATTTATTATGTACATAATATCATACATATAAATTCAGATGTTTATAAATGCTTATAAAAAGTTACATAAAATATCGTCGCAATTTTTTCGCCTCTTGAGTCATTTCTTGTGGTGTTCTAAGAGGTTGAGGATTTTCGTCTCGATCATGTTTCGCTAACTGGTGGTAAATGTCGTCATTTCTCTGAAAATCGCCCTCCTTTCTCGGTAGAATATGAACATGTACTTGCTGAAAAAAAAATCGATGAACATTTGGCCAGACATCCAACATTGCGGTGAACGATTCAGCGGTATTCAGGCTCCACCTTATCTTGAACAGTTTCTCGAAAACTACCTTTTTAGTGCTAGGAGAAAGAAATAACAATAAAACTTACCGCAACAGTTTGGCCAGCAAAAGGACCGTCCTGAACACATATAGTCGACGATGTAGATTTATGTTCGATCTCCATTTTTCTTTGCACATTAACAGTCACTTGAAATAGATCAGCAATTTCATGCTGAGTTAAATCTACTAATCTTGGAGCCGGTCTGTATGTTGTAATCAAGACATCTGTCGGTTGTTAAGGAGAAATGTAGCAACGTATTTATTAAAATTGGCGACTCGAAGATGAACTGAACGTTCCGTAAGCAAGAGAACATTATTAGTAGTTTAGTAGGTGTGACGATTTTGAAATCAGGATTTCTTGTAGACACTTGACAAGTTTTAAAGCATTGAAGATGGTCATATTTAAAGTGCAAACCTTACCTGAAATCGCTTATAACTCGAAAACGCTCAACTTTACAGAAAAGTAACTCAACACCTCATTTAGTCAGAATGATCATTGAACCCTAAAAAAACTTTCCCTTAGCGAAAAAAACAATTTGTAAGTCGTATCTTTTTTCTTTCTTCTATGAATAAAATGTTTTCGCATCGTCTACATTGGAAAACAATTTATCTTTGGATCGACAATAAGAAAAAGTACAGAGTCAAGCTTTTTTCAATTCAAAAAGGATACGCCCAGGCACAACACATCTGATATTCGTAAACGCATAGCAGTACTTTGATCTGAGAAAGACAGTAGATCCAGGTACAACTTTATCAGCAAACTTGAACGTTTCATCATCATCAATAGAGGCAGATTCACAATTGATGATGCTCAAGTCGTAGATGTCGTTTCTTCTATGTTGTTGAACAGGCATTTCTTGTCTGACCTTTTTCAAATAATCCAAGTCTATGTCGGCAATTGCAATTCTTTCATTTGTATCTGCTTCTCCTGTGTATTTTGGACATTCTGCTAGAATTTTGCCCCATGGATCTATGATCTAGAACAGAGTTAGGAGATACTCGAAAACCTCATAACAGCAGAAAATCTAAAGGATGACAGGAGACAGACCTCGTATGTTTGTAAAATTCTTACCATTGCTTGCCCATAAGATGTTCTCTTGGGATTATGCTTCCCAAATTGTGCAGCAGCAACAACATAGCACTGATTTTCAATAGCTCTAGCTCTTAGCAGTACTTCCCAATGTGCTTCACCTGTACTGTGGGTGAAAGCAGATGGATAAGTCAGAATCTGGGCTCCCATCTTTGTCTGTAGTATCGCCAGTTCTGGGAATCTTAGGTCATAGCACTTTGGTGGAAGATTAAGGAAAATTTTCTCATTGATAATTTACGGCAGTTCAAGTCTTATTTGAAAGCATATTGAAAAAAGCCAATACAGTGTAATTCAGCTTTGCATATACCCCTCTTACATGGATACCTCGTTTAAACGGACAGTTTCTCATTGTCCTGACCAACTCTCAAATTGCTTAAAATTGTAAAATCTCCAAACATGATTGTTATATGTTTATTTTCTGGTCATTTTGAGACATAGATTAAAGAAACTTTTTAATACATTTTTTGATCACCAGTAACTATAAGGTCCATAAAAAAAATGTGTTTTTATAACATCGTTTGGAAACTCATTTGCAATTCAATATTTTGTGGAGACTTTTGTACAGAAGGATACTATTGCCAAGCCCATAAGTCCGGCAGGTGTTCCAGAAGGAGGAAATATCTGTGACCCTCCTACATTTAAGTCAGATTCTCTCAGGTATATGTTTTTTTCTGGAATGGCCACATCAAATAGATGTATTTTTCTGTAGATTGATTTGATTTCACCTGAACTATCCAACAGAATATGGCTATTATAGATTGTATCCTAAAACTGCACTTACATTAATCTTATTTAAGAAAAAATCTGAATGTACAAAAAACTTATGGAATTTAAGGAATTCATTTTATAACAGAAAAATATAAATGGACAGTTAACCTTGCACATTCAGACATACTTTGTTTAAATGTCCAGTTCTGAAACTCAACTAAATTTACCTCATCAACTTTTTCATGAAAACCACCAATTGATAACCACATTGAATTATTCTTAGCAATCAATTTGTAATCATTCATCAAATCTCCATTTATAGATTCTGCTAACTCTCTAGCTTCCTTTTTGTTAGAAGCAATAAAATCTGAGGCTTCAGGCAGGAATGCTATCTAAAATGTGTCATCTTTTTACAAACAAATGTCTATTTTATTATAAAGAGGATTTGAATAGAAGTAGTCATGGAATAGCTTTGACAATTTATATCATTTAATCAATAAACTATCAAATCTAACAGCCAAGTTAAACTGGAAAAGCTATTCCATGGCTACTGCATATTAGGCATAAAAGTGCTGGATTCATTTATACTTGCTGAATGCAATCATGGATAAACCGATGAAATCAGATTTAGCTATCAAATTATTTTTTGTGGAAATAAAACAGTTTGCAATGAATCAGAGAGTATTTATTCATACTATAGTTAAATGCCTACCTTGGCATGTTTTTCCTTAGCTTGACCGACCAGTGTCTTTACAGTTTTTAAATTTGCAGCCTTGTTATTTGTAGCTGTAAACTGGCAGACAGCAACTGTACACTTGGACATATTTCTAACACTAGCAGCTATTAAATATTTACTAAAAATTTTACGTGAAAGTCTGCATATAATCTGCATTCTATCTGCAAGGTGAAAAAGAAGATAATATGAACAATGTTATCATTTCAATACTTGCGGATGATTTTCAAGGTACTTTTTTCCGAGTCCAAATACTAATCAAAACAACACGACCTAACCTAAAACGTGACATTTGTCAAACCACGTCAAATCATCAAATGGTATATCGTATACTCGATGTGTACTCGCAGTTCTTAGTCAACTAGCGCGGTGTTGCCAGTCCTATCACAGAATTTTTCAGTAACTGAGGAGAGCAACGTGTCATTCACCGTGGTTCTCGAGTGATTTAAAAAAGGACACAAATGAAGCTGAAGACGAACAGGAAACAAAAAATTACTCTGCCTTACTCATTATTGACTCAGCATTGTCGGAAATCCTTGGCCTCTCAGCTACTAGTATATAGAGCGGCAGGGGTATTATGTAAACATCTAAAAAACGTCAAAAAGACCGATTAAGTCTCTTGCAGACTAGGTAGTTTTTTGTGTGCAAATAGTTCATTCTACGTAGCATCTAGGCATCCAATTTTGTCAGACAATCTTTGTCCATATTACGTACATCGGTGATTTAAAAAAAATTCTCGTAAGAAAACGTTTAAAAATTATATTAATTTTTTGAGCAAGATTACCATTTTCGACCTCCATTGTTGCATCCTTACAAGTAAAATTCAATTCACTAGAACATCATCATCGGGGATGTCACACGATCAGTATTTATTGTGGTCAGTATTTACTATGATGATTCAGTGTCAAGGGATTTCTACGTTATCAATAATCCAGGCTTTGAGCTGTTGAGCTTCCATGATAAATTCTGAACGTGTAAGTTTCCTATTCTAATAAAAGTATGTAACAAAATTTCAGAAAATTTTTATAGCTTGGCAACGGTGCCATCGAGTATCGGAAATCCGTGGTGTCACTTGACATTTTTCCATCGGTTTTGTGTCATTACATTCCGCTAATCCGGAGTTGTTGATTGATTATTTTCCAAAATTTGAATTAATAAATATTTGTTCGAATACAGACATTACAGAAAAACAGTGATTTATTATTGATTAGGCATAAGAAGTCCATCAGCAATTTAAAAATATAGGAATATATTACAAATTTCCCAGCATGGCTGATAATAATGTGCATTAAAGATGAGATTGTGGAAGTTTTATAGCTTAATACTTTTGATTTTTCCTGAAAGTTTCACTCATGGAAAAGCTGCAACCCATTGGGTGGTCACTGAATCCGGACGTATCCAACCACATGTAAGATTGTAGAATGCAGTTGGTAATAAATATAACATGATGTAGATTATAGTCGAATGCCGTTTTGGCTTTTCCACTTTTTTGTTGTATACCCTGTCCAGATCAGAAATTAAAGAATGTCTGAGCTGTTTCACTCATCATACATGTGTCCTTAAACTTGGAAACATCTCCAACAGTCGGGTGTCGATACGTGTGACGTCGTCCCCGATGGACAAGCGTTGACGTCGATGGTCGTACGTGACAGTCGGCAATCGCCTCCACACTACTGTCGCCTGCATGCACTGTGCATGGTGAAAGCTGTAATTTTGAATATAACCCACAATAGTTTATTTTTAGCTGGAATCTCCTTTCAATCTACGCAAACCATATGACCTAGTGGCATTGCTAGAACAAGAAGCTCGTTATGAGGAAATCAACAAACTCTACAAAGATCTCATCAACAGAAAGGAAGCTATAGAAAGCAAATGGTCAACATTGGAAGGCAACTCGAATGTTGGATTGAAAATAACATCCCATGATCCTGATTGTTTGGCTGCTGGAAAACTTTTTTCCGACATTGACCTTTACGCTAACATTGTTACCAATGGCACAGATAGAAAAGGAGTTGTTATAGAATTTTCAAAAAATGGCATCCCTCCTAAGCCATGGGAAGTACCACACTGTGTCAAATTCAGTGTACTCAAGAAAGGTAGAGACATAGATAGTATTATTTGTTTTTTAAGCTTTAGCATAACTGCTACCAATCACATTATTTTCACTGTCAATGTAATATTCTTTTAATTCTATTTTAAACATTTCCATATTAAAAGTAGACTTTATATCATTATTTATTTTATTAAATTCAAGTAATAGGTTCTGAAATATTGATTTTCTAGAGAACATGGAAATCTATATTTCCTCTTGTATAATTAATTGTGGTAATTACGATTCAATTCTATGTAATGTTATAAATATTGTGGCAAAATATGATTTTTTATTTTAAAAAAAAATTAGAACCAAATATGGTATGAAATTTTTTATATCCAACCACTGTAATTTAGATCTGAAAAAAAAATGCAAGGGGCAAAGAAGTTGTATTTTTAGATGCTTAATCAAACAACAAATATTAAAGTTACAAAAAAGGTAGTGGTGTACAGTTTTTTGCCAATAATATTCGCTAACGGCTAAATTAGCTGCTTAATACAACAAATAGTATTGCCAAATTTCAACAGAATCAAGAAAATATTTTTTTTCAATTTTAGTTTATTTACATTTATTCAAGTCCGAATTTAGCACTTTTAAAGCACTGTCTATATTTTCATCTGGTAATCACGTTTATTAATGTATCATCTGCAAATATCAGAATTTTGCAAGCGAAAAGTATGTAAATATTATCATTACAGTCTCTTGTGTTATAAAAGTGCACATCACCATTTACTAGGGTACAACAACATACCCGATGTGGAGAACAACACTAACATTCACCTGTCGCCTGACGAATCATTGGACAAGTTCATTCCATTGGAGTCTTTAGAAGTATTTGGACACGAAATAGCTGCATCGTTGAAGAAGAATACCACATCTTGGGTGCACTACAATCTAGCTGCGATTTTTTGGAGAGTTAAAGGTGATGGAGATAAGGCGATTGATTGTATCAAAAGGGCTATCCAATATGTTCCAAGGTAAACAAAGTAGCTGTGGATCAAAGTTGATGATCTTTTTGTTATATGAAATGCTTTCTAAAGCTGTTAAATCGTCACCTGGACGTTATTTAACATCCAATGATAAACTATTCCTTACGGATCGATTATAAATGTGACTTATATTCTCTTAAATGTTCCATGTACATTTATTACAGTGAATACCAGGATATTCCTCTATACAACCTAGCCGGCATTCTGCACCAAGCTCGTCATTCAAAAGAGGCGGCGATGGTGCTTCAGAAGGCCATCGAAATTGCTCCAGAACAAGCGATACACTACTTGGCAATTGGGAATGTGTATGCAGCTTTGGGAGACTACAACAAATCGGTTGTGTACTATGATAAATTTCTGGAGATGAACCCTGGGCAAAAGGACGTTGTCGCTAACAAACATGCGACGTTGTGCTATTGGAAGCTGGAAAAGGGGCTGCTTAGTTTTCAGGAGTGAGTATGTAGTACAGGGTGTGGCAGGACCGGCTTTTTTTCATTTCGGAGTGAGCAGTTACCAAATCTTGAAAACCGGAGTATTGTGAAAATTCTAATAACAAAAACTGAAAATTTTAAAAAATATTGGAAATTTTGAAGACCTTGTTAATTTTGAAAATTGAAGTGATCGATTGATTTCGGAAATTTTGAAAAGACTGAATGTTTTGATAATCCTGCAAATTTTGGAACCATAGAAAATACTGAAAATTTTGAAATTATTGAAAATCTGTCAATTAAGTGATCCTCAAGTGAAGGCTCTTAGTAGGCTGTTACAGTTTTCAGATTTTTCAGTTTGAAAATTTTTGAAAAGTTTGAATACTGGGGAATTTGAAAATTTTTGAAATTATGATAATTTATAATATCTTGAAAATTCTGTTTAATTTGGAGAATTTGTGTGTAGTGCAAAGATTTAGAAAAATTTGATGCGTGAAAAATTTTGGAAATATTGAAAATTTTGAGAAACTTGGAATTTTACAAAATTCAAAACATTTTTAAAATCTGTCAATTAAATGATCCTCAAGTGGAGGTTTAACATTTGCACTTCACAGAAGGCTGCAACAGTTTTCAAATTTTTCAATTTGAAAATCTTTAAAACCGGGAAATTTGAAAATTATGACAATTTTCGATATATTGAAAATTTTGAATATTTCGGAAAATGTTGACGATTTTGATGATCCTACAGTTTCAAGAAATTTGAAATTTCAGAAAATTCTGAATTTTCTAAAACTTTTGGAAATCTTTCAATTTTAAAAATTTTGGAAATCTTGAAAACTGGGAAATCTAAAGATTATGATTCTTTTCAATATTTGGAAAAAATCGTAAATTGAGATAATTGAATATTTTGTTAATTGGAAATTTTGAAAAATTTGGAAAATATTGACGATTTTGATAACCCTGAAAGTTTTGAGAATTTTGAAATTTCGGGAAATTCTGAATTTTTCGAAACTTTTGAAAATCTATCTGAGTGATCCTCAAGTGGCGATTTAACATTTGCACTTCACAGTAGGCTGTAATAGTTTTTCAAATTTTCCAATTTGAAAATTTTTGAATATTTTGAAAACAGAGAAATTTGAAAATTATATTTTTTTAATTTTAGTGTAGTGTGTAGTGCAAAGATTTAGGAAAATTTGAAGCGTGAAAAATTTTGAAAATATTGAAAATTTTGAGAATTTTGGAATTTTACGAAATTCAGAACATTTTTAAAATCTATCAATTAAGTGATCCTCAAGTGGATGTTTAACATTTGCACTTCACAGTAGGCTACAACAGTTTTAAAATTTTTTAATTTGAAAATCTTTAAAACCGGGAAATTTGGAAATTATGATAATTTTCGATATATTGAAAATTTTGGATATTTTGGAAAACGTTGACGATTTTGATGATCCTAAAGCTTCAAGAAATTTGAAATTTCAGAAAATTCTGAATTTTCTGAAACTTTTGAAAAACTTTCAATTTTAAAAATTTTGGAAATCTTGAAAACCGGAAAATCTAAAGATTATGATTGTTTTCAATATTTGGAAAAAATCGTAAATTGAGATAATTGAATATTTTGTTAATTGGAAATTTGAGAAATTTGTAAAATATTGACGATTTTGATAACCCTGAAAGTTTTGAGAATTTTGAAATTTCGGGAAATTCTGAATTTTTTGAAACTTTTGAAAATATATCCGAGTGATCCTCAAGTGGCGGTTTAACATTTGCACTTCACAGTAGGCTGTAATAGTTTTCAAATTTTTCAATTTGAAAATTTTTGAATATTTTGAAAACAGAAATTTGAAAATTATATTTTTTTTAATTTTGAATATTTTGCTTACTTTGAAAATTTTTAAAATTGAATATTTTGAAAATTTTGAAAATCTGTCAATTGAGTGAATTTTGGAAATTCAGAAAATTCTGAAAAATTTGAAACTCTTGACAGATCGTCGGTTAAAAATATCCTCAAGCGGAGGACATTCGTTGAAAATTTTGAATATCTTAAAAGAGTTTAGAAATTTTGAAAACAGCAAATTTTGAAAAATCTGAAAGTATTTGAAAATTTGGAAAGTTTTGTCGATTTAACTGAAAGTTTTTGGAATTCCAAAAAATTCGGATAATTTTGAAACTCTTGAAAATCAGTCAATTTAGTGACCCTCAAGTGGAGGCTTAACGTTTGCACTTCGCAGTAGGCTGTAGCAGTTTTCGGATTTTTCAATTTGAAAAATTTTGAAAATTTTGGAAACGGGGAAATTTAAAAATATTGAAAATCATAATGTTTAATATCTTGAAAGTTTTGATTGAATCGAATAATTTGAAAATTGAGACATTTTTAAAATTGAAACTTTTGAAAAATTTGTAAATTTGTAAATTTGGAAAAAACGAAGATTCATAATTTTGCAAATTCATTTATACTCTTGAAAACCTGTGACAAGTATCTGTAAAGTGCAAATATTAAACCTCCTCTTGAGCGTCAATCAATAGTTTATTATTGATCATTTAAAATCCAAGGGTTGAACCCTGAATCGGCACTCTGAGCTCAAAAGTCGACTATACTTGTAAATGTGGGCCTTAGTGAGTCACAGTTTTGTATTCCATTCCAATATTGACGCGTTATTGATATTTTTTATATATCTAGATCGCTGCAAGGTATACTTTCCGATCTTCACGACTACCATAGTCAACAACAGCAATGGCTACGTCTTCAAGAACGACTTATGTGGGAACATGCCTCATTCGAATACCAGTTTGAAGGGCTTCAAAACAACTTGAAGTTCCCAGGTTTGTATTTTTTATACTACACCTAAACACCGAGACTGCTATGAGGAGCTTAATGACACATTTTTTTCATGAAATAAAATAAAACAAGAAACAACATCAAACTTAAAATAGATAACAATCCAGCGTGCAATGCAGGCTATAGTATTTTTTTTGTATGAGTAATTCCTACACAGATTTTTTGAAAACCTTCAAATAATCGATTATTTTGATAGCTGCGGTTAGATGGTTAAGTATTTTAATTCTCAAAACTTCCAGGATTTTTAATAGGTGTTATCAAAAATTGTCTCAAATTTTTCCAAAATCTTTGACTTTTTTAAAACTGTTGAAATTCTCAAAATTTCTAATGTTTGAAGAATTTTTTATGTCTTTAAAATACTGTAAATTTTGAAAATGTTCACGATTTTCAAAATACTTTTTTCTTGATTTTCAAAATTGAACAGTCAAAGAACCTTGAACATTTTGAGAAATGTGAGTTTCGCTCAAAGGTGCGCTATTATTCATTCAGCGGTTTTGTGTTAGGCAACTTGCACTGCAAGACTGGAGATTTCATCAATTTTTTTTATACCAGGTGGAATGATGCAACGTTGCATTCAAAAACCGGGAGAAAATTCCGAACCGGTGATCTCTTGTGAAGCTTACGATCCACCTGAAGTCGACCACCTGAATTTGCAGAATATTTTTCAGTACGTTGAAAACGAAAAACAGAAGATCCACAGTCAGATCAACAAGGCGAGCGAGGAAAAGTTTTCTAGGTAAATTTGTCGACTGCAACTTGCGTTGGTTGGACGTTGTTTACCCATCAGAGAGCTTAAAAATAGAAACTTGATAATAACTACCGTCGATACGAATGTTCTGTTTCAAAGCATATGCGTCGAACTTTCATTTATTGTGATGTTATTTCGACAGTCTGGAAAACGACGAAAAAAAACAGCAGTCCTCGGAAGCGCCCCCGGTGCTGTACCCCAAGTTCCCGACGTCGATGTCTACGTCCGGTAATCAGTACTTCGACGTGACAGGTTGGCCAACGAAAGAAGATTGTCACGCGTGGAACTTGCCAGTGGACGAGGAGGAAGATTTGAAATTACCTTTATTTTTGCCGCCGGAAAATAAGGGTTACCAGTAAGTGAGGAAGCTATAAATATAGAGATTTGTATATGAAATATTTTTATATTTATATGGGGTTGTCCAAAACGGACGCAGGAAAGTAAACGCATATTAAAACAAGAAAGATTGATATTCAAATCAAGTTGGGTACTTTATTTTGAAGGTTCATTTATACCATTTATGTATGAAAAATAATATCGCTCAAATGTTCACCACGACTGGATTTACAGACGTCCACGCGATGGTCGAAATTTTCAATGACATTTTGCAACATGGTCGGTTCTATGGCATTTATCTCGGCAACGATGTTGTTTTTGAGTACTTTGAGGGTGGCTGGTTTGTTGACGTAGACTTTGCTTTTCAAATATCCCCATAAAAAGAAGTCCAAGGGAGTCAAATCGCACGATCTTGGTGGCCATGGCACATTTCCTCTGCGCGAAATCACGCGATCACCGAAGAAGGACTGCAATCGATGGATATTGACGTTGGTTGTGTAGCATGTTGCACCGTCTTGTTGGAAATAAACATCGTCCATATCCATTCCTTCAAGTTGCGGCAAAAAATAGTCCTCTATCATCACGTGATATCGCTCAGAATTGACGGTAACGGCGTCCCCGGCCGCATTTTCGAAAAAGTAAGGTCCGATGATGCCTTTTGACCACAATGCACACCACACAGTCACTTTTTGAAGATGCATCGGCTGCTCTTGATACTCACGGGGATTTTCGTTCGCCCAGATGCGGCAGTTTTGCTTGTTTACCGTCCCATTCAAAGCGAAATGCGCTTCGTCGCTGAACATGATTTCTGATGAAAAATTGGCATCAATTTGGCGGTGTTCAAGGAGCCAATCTGAGAACGTTCGCCGCGAAAAATGGTCGGCCCGACGCAGCTCTTGCGTCAATTGGATCTTGTAGGCGTGTACATTCAAATCCTTGTGGAGAATGCGGAGCAAACTGGTTCTCGAAATGCCCAATTCTTGGGATCGACGCGTTGTTGATTGTTTCGGATCGTCTCTCACACTCTCCTTCACAAGATCAATGTTGGCCTTGGCCGGCCAGAGCCTGACAGATTTGCCACAGAACCTGTTGACTCGAATTTACGCACCAGACGACCGATGGTTGTTTCGTTTGGGCGGTTGTTGCGACCGAAATGTTCACGAAGCGCGCGAAACGTGTTTTTTATTTTTGCACCATTTTTGTAGTGCTCTTGAATAACTTTAATGCGGTCTTCAATCGAATACGACTCCATAGCGATCAATGGTAAACATTCAACTAACAAAATGACATGTCGGTGACAGAAAACATAGATGGCGTCTATGTCAAATTGACGTTTACTTTCCTGAGTCCCTATTGGACAGTTATATACGACTAATAGCAGCGGTGCGCGATACACAATGGTTCGATTCTGGTGCGATAGATGGCGCTTCGAGCTATCTCCGGTATAGAGGATCGTTGTGATGCTTTCGTTTATTCGTCCAGAGATAAGAGAGCAAGCCTATACGATGCTGATGAGTAGTTAAGAAGCACGAAACAGCTGTCCGTGGTTGGCTGTCTTCTTTTCTTGGTCGGACGGATGAAAGTATCTTGTTTAACCTGTTTAATATCTTGGTTCTATGTTGTTTTCATCAAAACCTACCCGACTGCAGCACATCATAAGCCCTATTTCGACTTATCACCGAAAACAACTGCCAGCTTCGTTTTGAGCTTGTCGAAAAGGTCACTCAAAATTATCTGTCTTTCCACAATTTTCAGTTTCCAATATTTTTAAAATTATCAAATATCAAAACTTTAAAGTTCTGAAAAATGTCAAAAACTTTCAAGATTTTCAAAATTTCCAAGATTTTTATAATTTTCAATATTCAGAATTCTCAAAATTTGTCAATTTTCAAATTCTTTTCAATGTTCAAAATGCCCTAAATTTTCAAGATTTTCAGGATCTCAACACTTCCACAATTTTCAACATCATCAAAATTTTTAAGATTCCTACATTTTCAGCATTTTTACTCAAAATTTGCAAATTTTGGACGTATCCAATATTTTCAAAATAGCCAAAATTTTCAAGTTTGTTAAATTTATGAGATATTTACAATTTTAAAAATATAAGATTTTGAGAATTTCCATTAATTTTAAAATTTACAAAATTCTCAGTTGCAAATTATCAGTTTTCGGTATTTTCAAAGTTTCTAAACTTTACAACATTCTCAGAATTTTAAACATCCTCACAATTTATAAAATTTCCAAAATTTTCACAATAAAAACAGTTTTCAGAGCTATCAGGCTTTTGGAAATTTTTACAATTTTCAGTCCTCAGTTTACATGTTCTAAAATGTCCTAAATTTTCGGGATTTCAACATTTTCAACACTTCCACAATTTTCAACACTATCAAAATTTTCAATATTTCTTAAATTTCCAGTATTTTTACTCAAAATTTGCAAATTTTCAAAATTTTTGATTTTTCCAACATTTTCAAAATACCCGAAATTTCCAAGGTTTTCAAAACTTTCTCAAGTTTTTTAAATTCATGAAATTTTTACAATTTTATCAATCCAAGATTTTCAGAATTTCAAAGAATTTAAAACTTTTTAAAATTCCCAAAATTCTCAGTTTGCAAACTTTCGAAATTTTCAGTTGTCAAAATTTTCGGTATTTTCAGAATTTCTAAAATTTACAACATTTTCAGGATCCCGCGATTTTCAAAATGTATACAATTTCTACAATTTCCAGAATCACATTTTGTGTTTTCAAAGTATGAGGATTTTGGAAATTTTCAGAATTTTCAGTCCTCACTTTACAAGTTCCAGAATGTCCTAAATTTTCAAGATTTTCGCGATTTGAACATATTCAACACTTCCACAGTTTTCAACACTATAAATTTTCAATTTTTTAAATATTCCATAATTTTACTCAAAATTTGCAAATTTTCAAAATTTTTTATATTTCCAAAATTTTCAAGATTTTGCAAATATCCAAGTTTCTTAAATTTATAAGATTTTTTCAATTTTAAAAATTCTAGATTTTCTGAATTTCCAAGAATCTCAAAATTTTTACAATTTCAAAACTTCAAAATTTGCAGTTATTCAAAATTTTTGATATTTTCAAAATTTACATTTAAAAAATTTTCAAAATTTTCCGAATCAAAAAATTCTGTTTTTAAACTTATCAGGATTTTGGAATTTTTCACAATCGTGTCCGTTTACAAGTTTCAAAATGTTCTAAATTTTCAAGATTTTCGGGATTTCAACACTTCCACAGTTTTCAACACTATCAAAATTTTCAATATTTCTTAAATTTCCAGTATTCTTACTCAAAATTTTTGATTTTTCCAACATTTTCAAAATACCCGAAATTTCCAAGGTTTTCAAAACTTTCAAGTTTTTTAAATTCATGAAATTTTTACAATTTTAACAATCCAAGATTTTCAGAATTTCAAAGAATTTAAAACTTTTTAAAATTCCCAAAATTCTCAGTTTGCAAACTTTCGAAATTTTCAGTTGTCAAAATTTTCGGTATTTTCGGAATTTCTAAAATTTACAACATTTTCAGGATCTCGCAATTTTCAAAATGTATACAATTTCTACAATTTCCAGAATCACATTTTGTGTTTTCAAAGTTGAGGATTTTGGAAATTTTCAGAATTTTCAGTCCTCACTTTACAAGTTCCAGAATGTCCTAAATTTTCAAGATTTTCGCGATTTGAACATATTCAACGCTTCCACAGTTTTCAACACTATAAATTTTCAATTTTTTAAATATTCCATAATTTTACTCAAAATTTGCAAATTTTCAAAATTTTTTATATTTCCAAAATTTTCAAGATTTTGCAAATATCCAAGTTTCTTAAATTTATAAGATTTTTTCAATTTTAAAAATTCTAGATTTTCTGAATTTCCAAGAATCTCAAAATTTTTAAAATTTCAAAACTTCAAAATTTGCAGTTATTCAAAATTTTTGATATTGTCAAAATTTACATTTAAAAAAATTCCAAAATTTTCCGAATAAAAAACTTCTGTTTTTAAACTTATCAGGATTTTGGAATTTTTCACAATCGTGTCCGTTTAAAAGTTTCAAAATGTCCTAAATTTTCAAGAATTTCAGGATTTCAAAATTTTTAACACAATTTGCAACTCTATCAGAATTTTCAAGACTTTTTAAAATATTTTCACTAAAAATTTGCAAAAATTCAAAATTTTCGATATTTCCAACATTTTCAAAATATCCAAAATTTAAAAAATTTTCAAGTTTGTTAAATTCATTTTTACAATTTTAAAAATTCAAGATATTCAGAATTTCCAGTAATTTTAAAACTTTAAAAATTTTCCAAATTATCAGTTTCAATCTTTTCAGTTTTAAAAATTTTCGATAGTTTTAAAATTTATAAAATTTACATTTGCAGCATTTTAAACATCCTCACAATTTTCAAAATTTACAAAATGTTCAGAGTCAAAACATTGTTCTTTCAGAGTTATCAAGATTTTGGAAATTTTCACAATTTTTAGTCCTCAGTTTACAAGTTCCAAAATGTCCTAAATTTTCAAGATTCTCGGGATTTCATCATTTTCAACACTTCCACAATTTTCAAGATTTCTCAGATTTTCAGTTCTTTAAATTTATAAGATTTCTACAATTTTAAAAATTCTCGATTTCCAGAATTTTATGATTCTCAAAATTTGCAAATTTTTAGTTTTGAAATTTTTCTAATTTGACTCATCCCTTTTCTTCTCCAACGAACGCGTAGCAAGTATACAGTCAATCTAATTGGTACCATTTTCCAGAGTACAAAAGATCCTCTCCGAATACATCGGTCTACCAGACGGCTCCCAGCACGACCTGCCTTGGTATCCGCCTGTGTGCGAGAACCCAAACGTGCTTGGCGAGAAATTCATCCCTCCAAGCGAGAGGCACCTGCTGAACGGCGATCTAAAAGCTAACGAGTACCTCAAGCACTACCTCTTGAAGTACGTCAACGACGGCAGCGCCGATGAAGCGGAAATCGGACAGAGGATCATCACGGCGATGGAAAAGGTTTGTCAAAGAACTACAGTTAGGACGGTTAAGCTTATTTACTGCGTTTTTTCAACCTATTTTGTGGTCGGTCGGCTCTAATAACTTTTTTTGTTGTATCAGAAAACGGCTCCACGCTGGGTGTTGGTAACGTTAGCCAGCCTGTATTGGCGCATACGCGGGAACGTTCGTCGCACTCTGGACTGTCTCGACGCTGCGCTTCAAGCGGTCCCCAGGGAACACACCGACGCCGTTCTGGTCAGCCTGGGATCAGTTTCGCACCAGTTGGGGCTCCAGGAACAAGCGATGAAGTTCGCCGCGCTTGCGTTCAAGATCAACTACGTGGAGCCTAGCACGAATTTCCTTTTGGCTTCGTTGCATTACGCGAACAAGAATCCTTTGCTGGGTGAGTAGATGACGATCTTTTACGATTACGGATGTGTAGTTCGCGAACGAACATGCTTTTCTTGGCGGAGACGAAAATTTCACAGTGTGCACCGATTAATCGTCTTAGCTTCCCAAATTACGAGGTGCACGCCAATCTGAGAAAGAACGGGGGAGTTGTGGCTTCTCAGACCGGAATGACATTCCAAATTTATTTGTTGCCTTTATCGCTCTCCTTCGGACAATAACTGGGATGATCTGACTTCCTGAACATCAGTCACGCCGCTTCAGAGAAGAGAATTTCAAACAAACCGATATAATCTCTCTTTTCAAGATACCTGTCGATCGTTCAAGCAAAGAAATTGTGAGCGAACGAAAGAGAACGAGATAGGAGGCGAGGCACACCACCATAGGCAACCAAGTTAGCAGAGGGTTGTATAACTGGTTGCCTGGATAGGATCGTGGTTTAGTACAAAGAGTCGTTATACAGGGTGTCCCAGAAGTCGACGTCAAGCCGAAACCGGGTGATAGGCAAAGTCATAACAGCAATCAGAAAAATATTTAAAAAAATTTTATGTATGTGTTTTGAAAATTATAGGTCTTTGAAAAAGATATAGAAATTTCACACCCTACGGCAGTCTGTCAACTCCTGTTACTACAAATATTAACTTTTTTTGGATTTTATTTTTACAATGTAATGATGAATAATGCATCTTCAAACTGGTGTCTCAACCTTACTGCCAACTTTTCTCGTTCAGGAAAAATTGCCACTTATTTCCCAACCAAGTATTCCAAAGTAAAACTTTGCTCAACTTTAACTGGCTGTACTGGAAAAAAATGTACTACGAGAGTTTGGCAAGTAACCTTAAAAGTTGGCGCATTTAATAAGGATTCCAAAATGGTATAACACTTAGAAGATTACTCGTTAAGTTATGCACAATTTTTATTTGAAACAAAACTGATGAAAATTTTTCAAAATTTCCTAATTAAACAGCGATTATGAAAACGCACAAGGATCCTTAAGGATAACTGTTTGCACAACAGTGGGCGTCAAAATGCTGCTGATGATGATTTACCTTTACAGCAAATGCTCAAACTGTTTTCCTTCAGCCGCAATACACGCTCGACATCATCTTAAAAAAGATCGGGTTATTAAACGAGCGAATCCACGGTTATTAACAAACTCATAATCCCGGAGCAGGAGCCCCGAGTTGCTTTTTGTCGCACAATGTTAGAAAGACACAGGAAAGATCCACAGTTCTTTGAAAAAATTTTATGGTCGGATGAGACCACATTTAAGAAAGATGGGTACATGAACCTGCATAACTTACACGAATGGCACGTAGCAAACCCACATTTGATGAGAGAAGATAAATCTCAATATCGCTTCAAGATAAACCATTGGACAGGAATTTTAAATGGTAAAATAATCGGTCCGTTTGAGTTCCCAGAGACTTTGACTGCTGAAGTTTATTTGGATTTTTTGAAAAATCATGTACAAAATTTATTGGCGGACGTGCCACTGAGTATTTACAGGGACATGTGGTTTCAGCATGATGGCTGCCCAGCGCACTATGCACTCTCAGTGAGAGAGTATCTCGATCAAAACTTTCCAAGCAGATGGATAGAGCGGTCTGGTACAATACCGTGGCCAGCCCGGTCACCAGATTTGAATCCGTTAGATTTTTTTTACTGGGGAACTGTAAAAGAAAAAGTGTATTTCAAGCCGATTCAAAATGTAGCTGAGCTACGGCAAAGACTATTGGAAGCAGCTGAGTTTGTTAATAACCGTGGATTCGCTCGTTTAATAACCCGATCTTTTTTAAGAAGATGTCGAGCGTGTATTGCGGCTGAAGGAAAACAGTTTGAGCATTTGCTGTAAAGGTAAATCATCATCAGCAGCATTTTGACGCCCACTGTTGTGCAAACAGTTATCCTAAAGGATCCTTGTGCGTTTTCATAATCGCTGTTTAATTAGGAAATTTTGAAAAATTTTCATCAGTTTTTCTTCAAATAAAAATTGTGCATAAGTTAACGAGTAATCTTCTAAGTGTTATACCGTTTCGGAATCCTTATTAAATGCGCTAACTTTTAAGGTTACTTGCCAAACTCTCGTAGTACATTTTTTTCCAGTACAGCCAGTTAAAGTTGAGCAAAGTTTTACTTTGGAATACTTGGTTGGGAAATAAGCGGCAATTTTTCCTGAACGAGAAAAGTTGGCAGTAAGGTTGAGACACCAGTTTGAAGATGCATTATTCATCATTACATTGTAAAAATAAAATCCAAAAAAGTTAATATTTGTAGTAACAGGAGTTGACAGACTGCCGTAGGGTGTGAAATTTCTATATTTTTTTCAAAGATCTATTATTTTCAAAACACATACATAAAATTTTTTTAAATATTTTTCTGATAGCTGTTATGACTTTGCCTATCACCCGGTTTCAGCTTGACGTCGACTTCTGGGACACGATGTATAAAGATATAATCAAGTGATGACTCTAAAAACTTGGTGTCCACACAGGGGCATTTAAACAGGGCTGATTCTCCATGCTTGTCCGGTCAATAAAACCACACGTATTGAGTTTAATCGCTTTCAGCGATGTTCTACATGAAGAACTATTTCGAGGGCCAAGCAGAGTGCCTGTTGCGAATTTGGGGCTGCCGCATCAAGCTAGGAGGATGCGTCGCCGTTGCGGCTGCTCAACATAAAGATGGAATTTCCAAAATTAGCAGAATCAAAACATTCCGTGTTTTCAAGTAAAAGAGGATTTTGGAAATTTTCAGTCCTCACTTTACAAGTTCCAAAATATCCTAAATTTTCAAGATTTTCGGGAAGTCAACATTTTCAACACATCCACAATTTTCAACACTATTCATATTTTCAAGATTTTTCAAATTTCCGTCACTTTTACTTCAAATTTACAAATTATCAACATTTTTTTAAAATTTCAAATTTTGCAAATTTCACAAATTTTTGGTATTTTCAAATTTTTGAAATATACATTCTCATGATTTTAAACATTTTCACAATTTTCAAAATTTACAAAATTTTCAAAATTAAAACACTGTTTTCAAAGTTATCAGGATTTTTGAAAATTCTCGGAAATTTCAGTCCTCAGTTTACAAATTCCAAAATGTCCTAAATTTCCAACGTTGTCAAAATATCAAAAATTTCCAAGATTTTCAGAATCTTCAAGTTTTTTAAATTCATGATTTTTACAATTAATTTTTTTTCAAATATCCAAGATTCTTTGAGTTTGTTAAGTTATAAGATTTTTAGAATTTTATAAATTCAGAATTTTCAGAATTTCCATTAATTTTGAAATTTTTAAAATCTCAAAAATTCTCAGTTTGTACATTTTCAAAATTTTCAGTTTTCAAAATTTTTGGTATATTCAAAATTTCTTAAAAACACCATTTTCCCGATTTTAAACATACAATTTTCAAAATTTCGTGGTGCATGTGCTCCATAAAACCACATGTTTTTCAGCGATGTACTACATGAAGAACGTCCTCAGAGCAGATCCGAACTATTACGAGGGCCAAGCAGAGCGCCTGCTGCGAATCTGGGGCTGCCGCATCAAGCTAGGGGGATACGTCGCCGCCGCGACTGCTCAACACAAAGATGGAACCGAAGGAACTACCAAGGAGACTTGCTCCACGGGTACCGCCGGGACATCCGGAGGTACGGCCTTCAGGGGAGAAGGAGTCGTGTGTTCCGCCAATGGAGAGCAGTGCAAAAACGCTGCGATTGCTTGTTACAAGAAAACCGGGGAAGGTGAGTCGTACAAGTCTGAAAGGCTCAATCAAATTTTAGGATCCTTGAATGTCTGCTAGAATCAAGGTGTTGGATTTTTATAAGTTGTTGTCTGCGACATATGTGGGACGTGCCGTAACAACGCGCGCTGTTACAGATTTGCGACGCGAACATTTTTGCTTAAGTAGTTCCGATATTCGTTTTCTACTACCTTGCATTTAACTACCCGCAGAAACTCCCGAACCGTCGCTAAAAGCATCTCTCCAATGCGAAGGAGGTCCGGGCCTGCCGCACCACCTGCGTCATCAGCAGTTGCACAGAGACGCGAATTTAGGCAGTACGATCATCTCCTCGCTATTGGCGGCCGGTGCCGAGGGTTCCGGAGAATCGGAACCGGATCAGTCGCGTTTGGAAAGGCTGATCGAGAGAAGTACCTTGGGCGCTATCGGAGAGGCGGCGAATAATGCCGGCTACCACATGCGGCTGAGCTTGGGCGACGAGTACCAGTCGCAGGATATGCAGGCGCTTGGGGATTTTTATGGTAAGTTTTCATTCTGTCGGGACTATATTTCGTTCGTATTTGTCAAATAGTGAGCAGTTTGTAAGCACCGCCTCTGACCTCTTGCCTATTTGCAAGGCGGTGACGCAGGGATCAGTACTTGTCCCCCTGCTATGCCTAGTATTTACTTATTTAATTTTGGAGAGATAGAAAATGCCAATCTACCCTGAACCATTTTCATTTTCTCCCAGCATTACAGGTTATTGTATTTTTTCTTGCAGTCGCTATGACCGAAGACCCCCAATCTGAGAACTTGCTGCATGTCTACGATAAGTTTGGTACTTATACTTTATCGTCGTCGACATGCAAGAATGTGAAGATCATACACAGGTTTAAGTATTCGACTGTGTGGCCGTCTATAGTTATAAGAAGCCTTGAGTGAGTACTGATACATTGTTACTTGCAAGCGTAAGATCGGTTTGTCTTCAAAGTCTCAATCTGTATAATGTGCATATTACAAGTGGACATAAGTTTATTTTTTGAAATTCGTTCATATTGGGTCTGTTCCTGATTCCAGGGATAATTATTTCACATAATTTTGATTAATCTTCCTGTAGCAATTTATAACACCGTCCTGAACGAAATACCCCCGAAAGATTGCAGGCTCCTTGATTTTGTCCGCAAAGAATAAAATTCTTGTGCGTTTTTCCACAGTCTCACCCCGTACTTGAAACCAAAGATAGATAATAAGAAGCTAGAACCGCACTGTACCGACTCAGGAAAGGCGATACCATCGGTACCGTTGAACACTCTGATCAAGTCGATCCTGAAACATCGGCTGCCCAGCTCACCGGAAAAGGATCTGATCGAGTTGCTGGGACTTATGGCGAGCGATCAAAAGATGTCGTTGAAAGAGTTGGGTACCAGAATTGGACTTGCTTTGAAAGAGGTAATACAGGTATCTTAATAGGGAAAATGCGATTTCTTTGTTTTTGCTTTCGTTTTAAGGATTTCCATGTAGAATTATTAGGATAGCAAGTGGATGGACACAAGCATCGATCCATTACGGTAGAATACTATAAATCACATTAATCCTTGCAGAATACCACGTCTTGGATCTTGGCCACTGCTTCGGCGATTTATTGGAGGATTCTGGGCAACACAGAAGAGGCTGTCACATGCCTGAAACTGGCGTTAGCTTATGTTCCTTCGGACAAGATGGACATACCGCTACATCATCTCGCGAACTTATTGAATAGGTACGACTATACTGATAAATTTTATGGTATTTTCATACGGGGACGTACTTGCTTGCTACAGAAGGAATTTTTAAAAGTGTTCTGAGTCATCGTGCTGTTTTCAGGGTTGGTTTCCACGTCAACGCCCTTGAATTGGCCCAGTTGGCTTTGAAGACACATCACAGTTTCGTGCTGAACCATTTCACCGTCGCCAACATCCATATTTCTTTGGTAAGTCGTCTAAAAAAAGTTTCAACAAAAGTTGTTGTGAGAATGGTCACAACCTTGAGCACAACGTCCAAGGTCAAGCAAATATTTTCTAGTGGAACTCCCATTTTCACACCAAAACTGAGCTCCAATTATGACCACGACCTTCAAACTCTTTCCAAGGTCAAGTAAATATTCTCACTGTTCCTACAGGAATTGAAAAGAAAAGAAAACTGTACGTTCAAATGTGACCTTGTCCATGATCTTCAAGGTCGGGTAACTATTTTCAAGCGGAACTTTTACGACTAATTATGACCATGGCCCTCAAGGTCATTTCAAGGTCAAGTAAATATGTTCCAATGGAACTCTGATTTTCACACCAAAACTGAAAAGTGGACAAACAATTATGACAATGATCTTCAAGGTCAAGTAAATATTCTCGCTTTTCACACCGGAATTGAAAAGAGAAGAAAACTATACGTTCAAATATGACCTTGGCCATGACCTTCAAGGTCAAGTAAATATTTTTAAATGGATCTTCGAACATTTTACGTCCAATTATGACAATGATCTTCAAGGTCATTTCAAGGTCAAGTAAATAGTCTCCAATGGAACTCCGATTTTCCCACCAAAACTGAAAAGAAGACATTTTGCATCCATCTATGACCATGGCCTTCAAAGTAATTCCAAGGTCAAGTAAAATTCTCACTTTTCATACAGGAATTGAAAAGAGAAGAAAACTGTATGTCCAAATGTGACCTTGACCATGACCTTCAAGGTCGGGTAACTATTTTCACGCGGAACTCAAAATATTTTACGACTAATTATGACCATGGCTCTCAAGGTCATTTCAAGGTCAAGTAAATATGTTCCAATGGAACTCTGATTTTCACACCAAAACTGAAAAGTGGACAAACAATTATGACAATGATCTTCAAGGTCAAGTAAATATTCTCGCTTTTCACACCGGAATTGAAAAGAGAAGAAAACTATACGTTCAAATATGACCTTGGCCATGACCTTCAAGGTCAAGTAAATATTTTTAAATGGATCTTCGAACATTTTACGTCCAATTATGACAATGATCTTCAAGGTCATTTCAAGGTCAAGTAAATAGTCTCCAATGGAACTCCGATTTTCCCACCAAAACTGAAAAGAAGACATTTTGCATCCATCTATGACCATGGCCTTCAAAGTAATTCCAAGGTCAAGTAAAATTCTCACTTTTCATACAGGAATTGAAAAGAGAAGAAAACTGTACGTCCAAATGTGACGTTGACCATGACCTTCAAGGTCGGTAACTATTTTCACGCGGAACTCAAAATATTTTACGACTAATTATGACCATGGCTCTCAAGGTCATTTCAAGGTCAAGTAAATATGTTCCAATGGAACTCTGATTTTCACAGCAAAACTGAAAAGTGGACAAACAATTATGACAATGATCTTCAAGGTCAAGTAAATGTCGCTTTTCACACCGGAATTGAAAAGAGAAGAAAACTATACGTTCAAATATGACCTTGGCCATGACCTTCAAGGTCAAGTAAATATTATTAAATGGATCTACAAACATTTTACGTCCAATTATGTCAATGATCTTCAAGATCATTTCAAGGTCAAGTAAATAGTCTCCAATGGAACTCCGATTTTCCCACCAGAACTGAAAAGAAGATATTTTGCATCCATCTATGACCATGGCCTTCAAAGTAATTCCAAGGTCAAGTAAAATTCTCACTTTTCATACAGGAATTGAAAAGAGAAGAAAACTGTACGTCCAAATGTGACGTTGACCATGACCTTCAAGGTCGGGTAACTATTTTCAAACATTTTACGTCCAATTGTGACCATGATCTTCAGTCATTTCAAGGTCAAGTAAATGTTTTCAAATGAAACTCCCATTTTCACACCAAAACTGAAAAGAGGACATTTTACCTAAATTTTTGACCATGACCTTCAGAGTTATTCCAAGGTCAAGTGAATGTTCTCACTTTTCATACAGGAATTGAAAGGAGAAGAAAACTGTACTTCCAACTATGACCTTGGCCATGATCTTCAAGCTGAAGTAAATATTTTCAAATGGAACTTCAAACATTTTACGTCCAATTATTACCATGACCTTCAAGCTCATTTCAAGGTTATGTAAATATTTTCTAATGGAATTCCCATTTTCATAGCAAAACTTAAAAGAGGAAATTTTACCAACAATTAATACCATGACCTTCAAAATCATTCCATGGTCAAGTAAATAGTCTCACTTATCATACCGGAATTGAAAAGTGAAGAAAACAGTACGTCCAAATGTGAGCTTGCCCATGACCTTCAACGATAAGCAGATATTTTCAAACGGAGCTACCAACATTTAAGGCCAATTATGACAAGGACTTTCAAGGTCATTTTAAGGTCAAGTAAATATTTTCATATGGAACTTACATTTTGGCATGGCCTTAAAGGTCTTTCAAGGAATCTTATTTTCACACAGGCATTGAACATTTTTCGTCCAAAACATTCGATTCATATAGACCATTCTTTACGAGAAAAATTATTTTTTTGGATTTTTTGTTTCGGGAAGCATTTCAATTATCAGTCCAAGAAAACAATGCAAGAGTGCAAAAAATGACTTTTGACTGAAATATGTGCCAAACGAATGATCCGCACGGGTATTACGTATCTTGAAAAGTGACATTTTTTTTTGAAATTTTTTAGGTTTTTTTGTGACCTAACCTAGTTATTTCTACAAGATGTCAACTCAGCGCTGACTGTTGCATACTTGTTGTGAACTCGTGTTGTATCTGTACGTGTTGCCTAAACCTCGTGATGCTCCAGCTATCAATGTTTTTTTCTTCCACATCTTCTCAGAGATAAACACAACTTGGCTTTCCGCAACCAACAATGCATGCTTGAGCATGTCGTGTTATTGGCTCATTCCTCCATTGACGCTCACAGCGATCATAGCGAGGAAGCGTGGAATGAACTATTTGCACACTAACAAATAACTAGTCTGCAAGATGACATTTTGTCGGTGTTTTGGCGGTTCACAATATCCACTGATAAAACGATTTTCGTTCTTTTCAGGGAGAATATGAAAAGGCAGTAGCGTTCTACCGGGCAAGTTTGGCGCTGGATTCTAACTTCGAGCCAGCTCGAGTCAGGCTTCAGGCGGTGCTATGCATGTTGCTGTTCGACGATCCAAACATTCGGAAGCAGACTGATGCAGACTGAAATATATCTCACATAATTATTGATACGTTCAAAATGAATATAAATATACACATATTTATTGACAGCATATTTACTGTGTTTTATTTCACGACCAAACCCCACCATGTCATTTTTGTCACACAGAGGCAACCAATTATACTACAAATACTATACAGGGAAGATTAGTACAACATTTTTTTATCGATACCTACCCATAAAAAAAAAGATTAAAAAACCATAACGTTTCGTGCAACATTATACAGGGTGACTTCGAAGTTGAGTCATTTATTTTAACAGTGAGTAGATCTGATCAAAAGAAATGTTTTTTTCCTTTACGATTTTTCTGGTAAAATTAAAGTAACAAAGTTATAGCCCTTTGGAAGTTTGAGTACCGCCCTGTCTCAATAATAATATTATGTGCTCGTGTTTGGCAACAACGGATATAATCCGCCTTATCGGTTCATCGCATCGGAAACAAAAAAGCGAAAGAATTTGGAACGATGTTTTTACAATTATTTTATTCACTTGTATACAGTCAGTGTCAGTCGGTAACGCGTGAGTGAATAGTGGTGTCTGTTGCGTGGCTCAAACGAAATCATGATTCTTATTTACGCGGCATCACGGATTTATGCGGATCGGTTTCCCAATCGAGTGCAACCAACCCCTCGTGCCTTTGTTAATGTAGCACAAAGGGCTCGTGAATCAGGTGACTTAAGACCTCACAGGGGAGGGCATGCCGGTGCTCCAAGACCGCACGATCAAATACAGGTCCGCACTGAAATACTTGTCGGGAGGATACTTTATAAAACAAGGTAACATTTTTTTTCAATTTTTTTTTATTTTTACACACATATTTTGGTTTATCTTCCTTCTACAATCATTATCTGAAAATTATTGACTCAACTTCAAAGTCACCCATATTTATGACGCAAGACGAAAACTTGTCACACGTTTAGGGAAACTATGGGACGTTTAATTTCTCGATTTGGTGATGTTAACTGGCCACCAAGGTCACCGGATTTAATGTCTACTGACTTTTTTGTTCTTTTTAAAAAACAGGGTTTATGTAAATCAGCTGAACAACAATATTACGGAAGCGATTGAAAATATTCCTTCCGATACCTACCAAAAAGTGATGGAAAGTATAATCAAAAGGGCTCAGGTTTGCGCGACTTCTAGAGGCGGACATTTGTCTGATATTCTTCATATATAATTTCTAAGTTTCAATAAAACATTAACATGAAAAAATAGACGTATTTTATTTCATTTCACAAGTATTCAAGATACAAACCAGTCAGTTACATATCGGCCACCCTGTATACAGGGTGACTTTGAAGTTGAGTCATTAATTTTCAGATAATGATTGTAGAAGGAAGATAAACCAAAATGTGTGTGTAAAAATAAAAAAAAAATTAAATAAAAATTTTACCTTGTTTTATAAAGTATCCTCCCGACAAGTATTTCAGTGCGGACCTGTATTTGATCGTGAGGTCTTGGAGCACCGGCGTGCCGTCCCCTGTGAGGTCTTAAGTCACCTGATTCACGAGCCCATTGTACTACATTAACAAAGGCACGAGGGGTTGGTTGCACTCGATTGGGAAACCGATCCGCATAAACATGTGCCATTTTTTATTTCGTTTGAGCCACGCAACAGACACCACTATTCACTCACGCGTTACCGACTGACACTGACTGTATACAACTGAATAAAATAATTGTAAAAACATCGTTCCAAATTCTTTCGCTTTTTTGTTTCCGATGCGATGAACTGATAAGGCGGATTATATCCGTTGTTGCCAAACACGAGCACATAATATTATTATTGAGACAGGACGGTACTCAAACTTCCAAAGGGCTATAGCTTTGTTACTTTAATTTTACCAGAAAAATGGTAAAGGAAAAAAACATTTCTTTTGATCAGATCTACTCACTGTTAAAATAAATGACTCAACTTCGAAGTCGTACGCAACACAAATCACAGCCTTCTCATCCATGATCATGAAGGTGGAATCCTTGCTTTGGAATGTACAAGATGCGGTGTTGCCAAGCGAACCAATGGTGCAATGTTGCAGAAGTTGTGACGATCCTGACCTTTCGACGTAAAATCCACTTGAATTTGCAGGTACCTGTCTTTTTTTATAAAACTTAATTTTGATTAATGATAAATATTATTTAATGCTAACTTAAATTTCGTCAAATGCCGGAATCTGTTCTGTACTACTGTAATACTATTGTAGATTATTACAGCAGAGTTGCCCTATTATACCATTTTTTAGGCATAGTCAAACAAAATTATATAGGAACAGGTGATTTTCAGATATTCAAAAAATAAGTCCTCTTCTTTGCGATGATTCGTTGAATAAGAATACCCACAATAGCCGCTGTCACACGCACAAGAGTTTGAAAAGACTCTCTTGTGCAGCGTCCAGCAGCTGCAGTGAGTTTCTAACCGAAGATATCTCCTTCCCGGTTTCGTCCAAAGCCTTGTCTACCTGCAACAAAAAGACATGCGTGTATGTAGATTTCCTAACACACAACTCAATATTGTAACTTGAGCTACGATGAGATGTCCTCGCAATATCGACGCTTAGACAACCAGAGTTACGCCACGGTGGCGTGAAGCTTCGGGCATCGTCGAGAAGGATCCGTCGATATCGGAAGTGTTCGAGAAGTATTGATCTACATGCTGAATTAGTAAAAAACGTTTCCTGAAGGTGTATCGTAATATATGTTGGTTACGAGTTGTAGTGTACAGGGAGAGTGACTATGTCTGTTTGTTCCCTAATTGTTATCGCTTTGATAACTAGGAAAAAACCGTATCGATGAGATTTTTTCAATATTGTAAGTGGGACCTTGAGTAACGATGAGATGCCCTCGCAGTATCGACGCTTAGACAACCAGAGCTGCGCCACGGTGGAGTCTGGCTTGCGGCAGCATTGAGAAGGATCGGTCGACATGACGAGCATAATAACTGCATACCGAATTTCTAAAAAACGTTTCCTGAAGGTGTATCATAATATGTGTTCATTAGGAGTTTTGAAAAATGCCATGTTTCAAGCCAGTGGTCGCCAACCCGTCGATCGCGAGACTGCGGTAGCTCGCAAAGGCAATTCTGGCGGCTCACAACTTATTTTAGAAAAGGTGTAAAAGTCATAGAAGCTTCCCTAAATTTTATAAATTCTCATAATAAACACAAGCAGGGGCAACACTGCGGTGAGCGATCTGTTCGAGAATGATCTCGATTACTTTGAACGGAATAGATACGCAAGGCACGGCGACAGTGCGCTCAGTTTAAAACTGAACGGTACAAAGTCCAGCGGTTGGGTTAGAGTTAGCCTGCAATTAGAAACATTATGAGCAGCAGTAAGAAGATGTAGACATACCATTTCCATTCGGAATGAGAAGAACAACTGAAACAGTTAAAAAATCAGTCAATTGACAACAGACAATGTTTTTGAAAACAATCGACAAAAGTAAGGCTGCAACTGAAGCATCATACCGGGTGTACCAGATAATTACACAAAAGAAGAAACCTTACGAAGACGGGAAAATGATAAAACAGGCGTTTTTTTGGAGCTGCAGATTCATTTTTTTTATACTCTAACCACCACGAAGGCCTAAGGCCTAAACACCCATGGGGTACCGTGCATATATGCAACTTTCTGCTAATACATTGATGACACGAGTAGAACTAATGAGCATTGATATAGTTTTACAGTTAAGAAATGACTTCGATAACTGTGCTTATTTTTCACTGCAGCTGGATGATTCTACAGATGTCGTTGACACCTCTGGTGGTGGCCGTGTTCGTTAGGGTGGTTTTTAGGGATTTTACGATTAAGAAGATCCACTAAAAGGACAGACTACTGAGCAGGACTTGCTTTCTTCTTTGAAAAATATCATTTCTTCTGAGAAAATTCCAATATCGAAAATGGTAGTATCAACCGATGGCGCTCCAGTTATGCTGGGTCGTGGTAAGGGTCTCGTGGGGTTATGTCGTAAAGATGAAAGCTTGTCGCAATTTCTCTGTTATCACTGCATTATCCATCAACAAGCATTATGTGGGCATTTTCTAAAACCAAACAACGTTATGAAATTGCTAGTAAAAATTGTGAACAAGATTAGAACTCAAGCGTTGAAGAAGATTATTCAAACACTTGGCCGATGAAATTAACTGTCAATACGGGAAATTACTTCTTCACTCTGAAGTCCGACGGTTAAGTAGGGGACGAGTGATGAAACGTTTTAATAATACCATATCTGCCATAGTTCAATTTTTCAAACAACATGATGAACCGAGTCCGGAACTGGAGAATTCATTCTGGCTTAGAGATTTTGGTTTTCTTGTGGATATTACATAAACATTGAATGAACTTAATTTGCAGCATCAGGGGAGAGACAAAGGAGTAGCAGAAATGATTTCTGATATAAAAAGCTTGAGTTTTGGGAACAAAACTTAATCGATGGCGATAACAGGCATTTTCCTGTTATTTCAGAAAAGATATCTCAAAGTCCATTAGAACCGTATGATAGTAAATATCATGTAGAAATAGTCTCTAACTTGAAGGATAACTTCAAAAAACGTTTCAAGGATTTCATCGAAATTATTTGCCAAGAGATTATAATCTTGTGAAATGGAGAAAACAAAGTTTCCGAGAGAGCGGCTATATATACAGGGTGTCCCAGAAGTCGACGTCAAGCCGAAACCGGGTGATAGGCAAAGTCATAACAGCTATCAGAAAAATATTTAAAAAAAAATTATGTATGTGTTTTGAAAATTATAGGTCTCTGAAAAAAATATAGAAATTTCACACCCTACGGCAGTCTGTCAACTCCTGTTACTACAAATATTAACTTTTTTTGGATTTTATTTTCACAATGTAATGACGAATAATGCATCTTCAAACGGGTGTCTCAACCTTACTGCCAACTTTTCTCGTTCAGGAAAAATTGCCACTTATTTCCCAACCAAGTATTCCAAAGTAAAACTTTGCTCAACTTTAACTGGCTGTACTGGGAAAAAATGTACTACGAGAGTTTGGCAAGTAACCTTAAAAGTTGGCGCATTTAATAAGGATTCCAAAATGGTA